ATGGACGCGCCTCGTACATTACAATATGTGGTCATAGCGTTGTTAAGCCTTTGCCAGTTTGATAAATGGCGGTATTAAAACACCTGCACTCCCGCGTTGGCTCCATCATGTCTCGTCGATTCCGATACAAATAGGGAAATTAAAAATTCACCATCTTTATCGGCGGAGAATAGAGCTTAATATCATAGCATGTACTAACGAGTTCATACATAATTTCGTGAAGCGGTTGCTTCACTTTTTAAATTTATTAACAGTTTTCGTTGCCTCTATAATTTAAACAAACTTGGGTAATAACAAAAATGCGCGGAATATAATTCTTCGCTCGAGTTTGACAACACGGCGGCAAGCGAGAAAAAGAGACAATTTTTTAATAAAATTAATACCGTTAGAGTTAGCTTTAAATTGAGTAAACAACTGTAAAAAGGCAGTACAATTTCTATGGTAAATTTAATTTTCCAGCAATAATTTATGAACAACTCCTAATATTTCAAAAAGAAAAGTCACAAAAGTAGCCAGTAAATTCATTTTGGGAAGATTTACAAATTGAATCTCCCTAGAATGGAAATCCTAAAAAGAACGCAAAGTCCGTAACAATAATAAGAACGCCTGGAAAGGAAGTAAGCAAAAATAAACTTCTTCGGGATCATCTAAATCCGGCACAATAATAGTTTCGGTGATTATATCTAATGGAAAGAAATGTACCGCACCTTACCACTCCGAGATTCTTTTCTTTTGCTCTATAAAGATGAAATTAAACATATAAATTTCAGAAATAACCTAAAAAGAAAACACTTATCTACACTATAGTGTAGGTATATACCGTGCGATGTTATTTCGCTATTTAACTTCCTCGAAAAATATATTTATCCTCGTCCAAATTGAAAACGAATCGATTTTGCAACAACGAACTCTCGGTTAAAAAATGCGTATTTCTTAGATAACAATTTAAAAATTGGAATATTAGTATTCAGCATGAGGAGTGAGAACAAACCTCGGCGAGAGGTTGAAAGTCAACTCCCCGGGGAGAAAACGGAACAATCTTTTGCATGGCAACAAGCTCGGATTTTGTATGAACGTGGTCCTTTTCCTTGTTCCAAGGTGAATCACTCAGGATATATATTTAGATAAATGAAGGACAAAAAACTTTTCAAACGTTCATTTTTCTATAACAACTATCATAAAAAAAATATCACTTTATGAGTTGAAAAAAATTTGATAATAATCCATAACAGATTAGCACAACTTGTTAAAGTTTTGCATTAAATAATTTCAACAGTGGTTCCAGGTATAGTTTTTGCGGCATTCAAACTTATTAAACGGTAAACTTAAATTCCATTGATAATTTAATTAGTTTAATAGCATCCTGAATGAATTCACAACGGGGTGTATGAAATGCAACAACCGAATGGTTGTACAAAACTCCAAGTCGAAACTTCGTTTCTTTGTTGTCACTGCAGGAAGTTTTGAATTTTATTGCGTCGTTTCCGGAAACCGAACTTACTAAATTGAAGTAATCAATCCTTGAGTAATTTTTTTGTTTATCTCCGTGAATATTTTATTGAAGCATATTTTCCATTTTCTCGATCTGTGTTTTTTTTACCAGTTGCAATGTAATACTTTTTTTTATTACCTACTTTCCAAGAAGAAGTAAAAATATAAAGTTGCCACGCTGGATTGGTAATTTGAATCTAGGAAGGAAACATTTTTTTTTTGAATAAAATAAAAGTATTCCTATATCTGATTTGTTTTTCATTTCTCTTATTTTATTAGGTGTTTGTTTGAAAAACCTTAAATTACAATCTAGTTCAAAGGCATTAAGGAACTCCGACAAACAACAAATTAACTCCCGGAAAGTCCCTATTGGGATATTCCAGTAATTACATACACAGGGGTTCTTAAATGCTACAATACCCTATTTAATAATATAGTGTTTTGTAACTGTTATTAATTTTCAATTAGCAAATAGACCGTTCTTGGAAGAATGCCAGAATTAATATTTTATTTTGTCTGTGCATTGCAGAAACGTTTTTTTACAGGAATGATATCCGTTGATTATTTTTCCAGATAGCGTCTAGATAGGCACTTATTAATTTTTTATTTAAATTATTGTGACAATACAATCCAAATTTCGTTTTTTTTGTGTAGCATTCTTGTGATTTATCGATAGCGTGTACTTACCTTTATTAGATATATCCTTTCCAATAACATTATTATACATAGATATCGGTAAGTATTTCTCGTTTTTTATTCATATACAATTCAATAGGCATATTTTTTATTTATCGATGATATAAAATATAAATTAGAGAATAATATAACCTATATATTGATTAAAAAAATGATAACGTAATTGGTAGCATAAAATATGCATAATATTTTCTCATTTCTAATAACCTTCATATTTATTAAATCAGTGCAATTTGAGTAGTTATGCATTCCTTCTAGATGTATAAAATTTCAATTATTTTACCTGCATTACAAATAAAAAATTTATTTAAGGGCTAAATTCTCATTGATGTGACCTTCTACATCAGATTACATCAATACTTTTTCTAGTTAACTCACATCGAGTTAAATGATATCTACAACGCTATTACTCCTTCGGGCGATATGAAAACCATTCTTGTTTTCGTGTTTGATTTATTATATTTACTACAATATTGTAGATAATTATATCTTGAACAATAATTTTTATTTTTAAACATTACATGAATGTATAGAGTTAAGCAAACTCTAGGAAATTAAGATTAGTTTATAAATAAATAGTTTACCGATATAATGATGCACTCGGACATTCTTTTCTACAACATATAAGTAAGTAGTAGATACAATAAGTTTTTTTCTTTGTATTTTTATCGACTGGCCTATAAAAGCATAGACGTATATATCAGTCTGATAGAAAGTTCCCTAGGGGTATGCTCTTCTCAGTTTGTCTCGTTTCCTGTAGGGTGTCGAAAAAGGCAGGCCATTGAAATTTACAATTATGAGTAGGGCGAACCACATATCAAGTATACCAGTGATTTAGGTCGAGTATTAAAAAAAAAAGATAAACGCGAAACTGAATTACAAAAGTCGATATTGATAAATGGCAGCTGAAAATTTAATTTATCTTATATCTTTTTGATTACATCGACTCGCTTTTTATTGAAGGGCGGAAGAAACGGAGAGGCGGGTGTGAGAATCCGATTTTTCTTTCGACGTTTTTTTTTTTATTATTAACGAGAGATGCTACATGATTTTCGAGTTAATTTATTCGTTATACTATAGCGGTTGCTTGTTAAGTGTATTTTATCCATTTTAATACTCGTAAAATGTGAAGGGAAATATATATAAGTGCGATTTGCGCCACATTGTATAATTTTACCTCAATTTTGCAGGGTTATAAAGCCATATAAACTCGTACCGAAGTCTTTAAAAATCTGTTAAAAAGTTTAGGTACTTACTCATCTTCGTTGATGACATAATTACTGCAAAGTAATATCTTAAATGCCTCTAAAAATTGTTTAAAACGATTTTTATATTACACACACTGGGTTCATTTAATATACAAAAATAACTTTTAGTAAATGTAATATATTCAATTATTTAAGTGCTACATTACGTGCTGTTTAATATTTAAATAATTGAAGTAGATTTAGGCAGGAATTTGAGAATGTAGCATTCGAAAGCAAGACTTCGGTTTTGCAAAGATCCCGAAATGAATTCATTTGGAGTTTATTAATGCAAAAACTATCAGTGAAATAACGTTTCATTAGCAAGCAGCCCTAGAAAGTCTCTCATTAAAATTTAAGATGTAATCTCGCTGAGTTCTCCATGCCTTTCTATCTTCAGTAATGTTATACGCTAACGAATTATATTATCAGCGGAAAATGTGCGTGTATGTGAAAGTGAGTGAAAGAAAGAAACCTATTCATTTACTTGGTATTTGTTCAACGGACCTGTTAAAAGTAAAACGCTTCCAAACGGGCCTCGCATCCTGGAAAGGAAACGGTCTATTTGCATGCGTTCATTCATTAAATTCTTTTTCCATTCTCACCTTTTCTAATTAAATTTTGTTCTGCCGCGTATATGATGGAACAATAGACCAGATATGAATCGAGCCAACAAATTAACGGATTAGAATCGCATTTTCGGCTAATTACCGCCATTTTCTTGTCCGATATATCCTACCATTTTTATTTTCCATGAAACACCACGCCGAAAGGCACATAAAATTAATTTGTATATCTATACTGATTGATTGTTATCCAAAATAGGAAGTATCTTAGAGTCTTGTTGTCGACAAACTCATCCAGACATTTGTGAATGTGACAATGATATACGGAAATAATTCTGATGATATATAACATAATTTATAACAAAGGTTGTCAGTTCGGATATTAACTAAGGGTAGGTTTATTCGTGCGCGGTTTGAGGTACACGGATAGTTTACTTGTTGTGTTTATATATTATATAAAACTAGTAGTACTCAATCGATCATCTAATGCAGTTTAAAACATCACTTCGAGAGGAAATCTCTCACTATACTTCTCTGACCGGGCGCTCTTGGAAATTTTTTTTACAGCTTTTCCCATTTGTTTCGTCCTAATGCCCGTGTTTCCCGTAAAAGTAAAACAGTAATGCACCATTTCACAAAGCTAGTAGTAGTTTTATTGAATAATTTAACCATTTGCAGTCCTGCAGCGGACTTTATTACCATCCTGCTGCAAATAAGCAGGAACCATTGAATCGATTTTGAAAACACATACGAACGACAACAACGCCGGTTCGATCCAATTTCATCAGAATTGACCGCCAACGTTAAAAGGAGATGGTCACCAGTAAATAATGGAATCTCATCGGATACTAGAAGACATAATAGAAGCGTCGAAGCTAGCAATTTGAAGCAAAAATTACAATGGACGTGGTGTAATTGTACTGTTTAGTTATACAACTGCAATTGCCACAGGAGTTCGATGGGAAACAGGTTCAGTTTTTGTGTATTAAACGAAATACTTGCGTCATTTGTAGACATTGTTATAATATATTTAATTCCTGAAAATATTTACAAAATATGCTTATTTTCTATTCCATTGTGTTCCTGGTATCGATTATAAAGGCCTGTGAAAATGGCGGAATTAAAATACAGCCGCCAAAATTTTAAATAAATAATTTACTCACCAGAAGTTTCCGTCGAATGAAAATAATTCATCGTCATCAAGACCTGGTATCTGAATGAAAAAAAAAATGCTTGTTAACAATAATAGGCAAGTACGTTGATAATTTGAACAAAACACAAAAGCTCGGCAATATAAACTAATTAATTCTGTTTTCAACTTAATTATTAATTGAATAGCTTATTAAACCGCTTATTATTTCAATTACGCATGAAATTAAATTAAATTAAATGAGATTATTCGTATATCGTGCAAATAAATATACCTATAGGTATGTGGAATTTCGTTAGGCACGTCATAATTGCAAAACCTTGTTAGGTGTAATGAACATTTTTGTTTATATCTATTATCCATTAATAAACGAATAAATTCCTCCATGCATAAAATTAGACAGAGGTAATATAATATCCAATAATCCTTTATATACCTAAAATAACGTACTTTTAAGCATACCTGCAGATAAAGCAAATATGCTAGACGTGTATGTGAAGTTGAGGGAAATTCTTGTAGATTGTCAACAAGGAGCAATAATTTAACCAGCTTATATAGTGAGCGACTATTAGTCTTTAAATTTAATTATTAAAGAGTACGAGTAAAGAACATTAACTTAGAGATAATCTTCACTGTTATTCTCGTAAGTCTTCCATAAAGTGTTTCTTAGCTACTTCATGGGGGATGAATATCTGTATCCGTAATAAACTATAAAAATGCGAAAAAGTGTCATATCTTAGAGAATAAAGTTACTAAAATATGATTTTATCACGGTTTTATGGTGTCATATATTAGGGGTCAGCAGATTTAATAAATCTACCGGCTGATCTCCATTTTGATTCGCGTTTTAAAAATCAAGATCGATCTTTTTAGAGCGTTTTTGTTTCTATTAAAAATAAAACAAATCGCCTAGTCTACCCCCTATAATAATATTAGAGGTAATATTTAACCGCGCATTGGACATTACAGGATATTAATAGGAAACACAGCAAAACCGGCACGTGCCTTTTACTTGGTTGCAAATGCGGCCTGGTGTAGATTCAGCCCCGGCTGATTTTCAGTGATTATATATGTAATAGGCGTCAGGTGTCCAACCAACGAACATCAATAGCTCCAGGTAATGCCTTTACACCGTCCGCGATTTTGTAAATACAACTATGTTTGATGTACAAATGTCTGTATTTCGAATTTTATTCGGCGGATTATTACATGTTCGGAACACTTCATTCCGGCGTAGTCGCTCCGATTTCACTTCAATATTAATAATTAGCGACAGGAATTGTTCTACTATATAACCCACGCTTTAATACATACGTGGGAACTGAAAATGAGGACGTAAATTGCGCATCCTTCATAATTATAGGAAAATAGAGCCTGACGTCGCCTGCCTCTCTTCATATTCAATGGATGATCATTATTTTCTATTTATAGTTATTTTTATACTTGTCGCGTATCGAATTTCTCGCAAAACATGAAAGAAATAATTAAAAGAAACGAACCATGAAATTTTCAAAGTATCAAACAGCGGAAAAATATGTCGTTCATTTTTAAAGCGAACATCAAATGACATTATATACGCACAGCATGTATTGTTTTATGCTCTTCTAATTGCAGAAAATGAAATAAATGGAACTACACAAAAACCGGATGTTATATTAGTATAAATTGCTGATGAAATATGTAGGCGAGTGCATGAGAGAGGTATTTTTATTTAATTGATATGACACCTTACACTACAATTTCAATAGAAAGACAATTTTATTTGAGCAAGTGGAAGGTGTCAAAAACGATCAAAAAAATTATCGTATATAGTTTTAAAATTGTGTATCACACACATTCCTTATCGGATATATTTTATCCAAACACGTTTTTTGTATTATTAGACAAATACAGCGCTCCATCTTCCGTCTACTTCGGCCGCTTCAACCGCACTCGTTCCGTTTAGTAATCCTTCAGTTTAACAAATGGTACTTCTCCGACTAGATTGCCAGTAACTTGTCCGTTGCTACTTCTCATATCCCCCGCCCATTCCCGATTCAATCCAAATTTATATCCCGCAAAATTTATACACTCACAATTCACCGTTTCTTTTTCCTCGCTTTCGTCGGACCGGCGCTCCGCTTGTTGCGAGAACACCTTGCTTTCCATTTCCCGATTCTTCCACGCAAAGGAATCATATGCGTTCGTTTTTATGGACGGCTCCCGAAGAGATCGCTCGTTCCATCCGCGGGAACCGATTAGGATTCGAAAACGCGATCGTTCTTACCTCGAAATTGTTCCTGGTGGCGTTCGCCATGGTGCAGATGAAGCATTCCATGTAGGACACCCCCGTGTCGGGGGCGGTGCATTCGCAATCGATGCATCGCCGGGGCGCCGCCACCCGGGCGACGGCTTTGCCGAAAACGGCGGCGGCTTTTTTGCTGGTTCTCTTCTCCTCCAAGCACTTGGCGCTGAAGACGGTACCTGCGAGATATTTCGAGTTATTTCAGTATATTCAATCGAAAATGTTTCTACCTGTGTATATACAGAGAGATATTTTCGTGCTTTATAGAGATAGATCAATTTGCGTGAATATTCCGGTAACGACCTTTGAGACGCGATCTAGTTGAGCATGTATAATTTAATAGCATTTTATCAAACGCACCGTTGCGTTTGAAATAGTATCTGCATTTATTTGAAATCATTGGTGATATTAATGTACGAGCTTCGCGTTTATTTTTAACAACGGGCTTATAGTCTGCGGACGTACATAATGTGAAAATATAAAACTTTTCTTTTATCTACTAAAGTGCAAAGAATTTAAGAGGATTTCGAACACATCCCCTTTTGAAACAGTTTAATAATTTTAGAGATCCTTTGTTGAATGTGTTACAGTTTTTAGAATACACCTTAAGCGTGGTTTAGGCTAACAGAAAAAAATCCGATCGTTGAAGAGATTATCATTTTTTCTAACACGAGACTACTCCTGGCGGCATTTACAAACCCACGGGATAAAATCTTTTCGTACAATACTATTTTTTATATAAAGAACGTGAAAAAAATTAATCTTCCAGCATGAATGAATGATAAACATTTTGTAAGTACCTTCATGTGATTATTTTTTTTCTATTTTGCTATTAAACTTCAATATGCCTGTTATGTACCTCATAGACATGATTTTTATCGGTTTAAAATAAATCTCTCTACAAAGAAAATTGCAAGGCTATACGCAATATATGCTTAGAACGTAATCCTTGTATTCACGAAGCTCTCCTGGATATTTATAGATTAGAATTTGTTGAGCCTCGTGAAATTTCGAAACAATCAAGATTTTGTGATAGTATATTTTAAATACTTACCGTTGGTTTCAAAAGCTAAAGGTAAGCAAATGCCTAAGGTAGATTTAGGGAGAATAATCGACTTCCTCAGCGACTGATCTCCAGCTAGACTTTTCGCATCGCGCCTCGTGTACGCGAATCGCTTGTCAATACCTGAGAAAATTATTACGAAATCAAAAACATTAACGAATAAAAATGCTGTGAGAAAGGTGAAAGTTGTGAAAATGTGTCGTAATCTGTATAATAGCGCGAATACCTCGACGGGAATGCATTGAAAAATGCAAAGAACAGGATGCATTGTGTGCTTCTCCGCTGTATCCGCTGAATAACATGTTTTTATACAGCTTAGTTCGATATACGATCGGTAACACACATTTACCTTTCGATTTTTGCTGCATTAAAGCGAGGTTGTTGTACGAAACATTTTACCTACATAAATGCTAGATTGGCGTATCGCGCCTTGAGGTAGACTTCAAAGCAGCAGGATTTATTTTATACGCTTCCCGTTCCTCGAATCTATTTTTATTATAAGAATTATATATCGATTACGAGTTCGAAATTCAATGAATTTTAACACGTCGACGACTTGCTAAAACGCTCTGCGGTTCGGGTCGTGTTGGTTGGTAAAAAGGAGAATGTGGTACGTTTGCTATGTAAAAACAACAACCTTAATCGAAACGTACACAAAAAAATGGATTAAAGAAACATGAGACCGGCGTGTTAATGGGTCATTCTTATTTATGAGTCCCGAAACAGATACCTACACCGGTTTATATGTCCAAGAGCTTAGTGACACCACAAAACCAACAGGGACCGACCACTGTCTGGTCGATAATGTCTGAGGCCTTGAGGATTCCACTCGTTGCTTTGCCGTGAAATTGAACTTTTCCCCGCTAATTATTAGAGATGAAATAACTTCGATACTAATTCGAGGTACACTACAGCGAATTTTACACTAGTGCTTGGGGAGATTTAAATTTAAAAGCAGCTATTAAAGTCACCGCTCCTGCATAATGAAGTGAATTTTTTTTTTCCTCGTACCTACGAAATGAATTTGTCAGAAAGAGCGTTTGTTGATAGTCGCAGAGTAGAATAGGCGAAGGTATAAATAAAAACGTTAAATTTGATTGCAGTAAAACACGACTATTGCTCATGAGGACTGGCAAATTAGAGTTTTTATTGTGGCGTAATTTATGTTGAACAATTTTCTTTATGATTGTCGGGATCCGGAACGAATGGCTTTTTGCTGAGGGTCAGTGGACATGACATAATAAGTTATAAGACAGATTAATTTCTTTGGAAATGGAGGACACATAGAAATCGCTCCGGATTCCGGTTGATGGTTAAAACAGTAAGAAAATGCAAATCACGTAACCGCCCGAGCTTGAAACGATAACGTTTTTTTTTTTTATTTACTTTTTGTTTGCCTGTTTCGAATATTCTCATCCCTAAAGAAAATGATAAGAGATGGAAAATCAACATTTTATCCGTATAATTAAATTATCTACCAAAAAAAATTTAGCTACTTCGGAGAGGATTTAAATTTAAATGCTAGAGGGAAACCTAAAAGGTTAATCTGATAGGTATAAGTACTTATTTTCATTTTTATGAATCGGTTTAACAAAAAAAAATGTATTTTATCTCTTCAAAAAGACTATACGTAATCTACAAAGTAATTGAGTTTCTGGGAAAAATTACGGGAATATAAAATGTTTTATCAACGAATGTACACTGGAAAAATCAATCTAACGATGTGAACATAAAACGGTTTTTACCACGTAGAGTTAAAAAAAAAACAAATTATAAATTTCATTAAAAGTTTCTTAAACCGACACCGCCCTTTTTCTAATTAACGACCATTTCATTTCAATTTTGACAGCACATTCGTTTAAATTACACCACCCATTTCTATACGAAACATCGCTCTCCCTTTCAGCCTCTTTAATGGTAAAAAAAACCTGCTCTTTCTGTTATCATCAGATGCCTCCACATTAGAGATTCCAATTAGACATTGTAAAATCTGAGCTCCTTATTCTCTTAATCCAATATTAAATATACCAACTTTGCGAGTCTGGGCTTTGATATTAGATTTACAGGGGTGGGTCACGATTTGAGTAACGCGACTTCACAAAGCTCTTTTATCGTTTAGAATTCGACGTTGCCACGACAAAACTACCCCTTGTTTTAGCCGAAACTTTTACTATGTCTCATTTAAAATCTACTCGATCCGAATTTAATACTTTCCTTACTTTATTTTTGTGTTAACTTATTATTGTAGTACATTTCAAAAAGTCAATATCTGGATTAAATTTGCATTTGAATGAAAACCGACAACTACGCATTAGGGATGAGTGAATCGTTGGTGACGAATAGGAGGTTGTATTTAGGGTTGTGCGTAATTGTGTATTTAAAATAATAAATTTCGTTAGACTTACACTTGTCTCGTTGAATTCTTGAGTGATATGTACCTAATTTGTAACCTCTAATACTCTATGAGGAATTTCCTCTGGCGTTGAGACTGTCACGTTACTTGTTAGTTACAGCTTTGTATATATATATATAGGGGACAACCGATTACGCAATAGATATAAATTACACTAATTTCCTTCGTATACCTACATTTCGCTAATTAGGTTGTTATTTGATAAGTAATCCCGCTTCTTTCATTAGAAAATTTTAATCGATGTTGAGTTGTGTTCTTAGTGTATGATTCAAGACAAGTTGTTGTAATTAGCAAGTAATTAGAATAAAAAATAATCGTTGATTAAAATACTCACCGAATGGAATCCTGACTTCTCGTTCTTTCTGCATTGCAAAGTGATTGTTCATTAAAATGTGCAGAGAAATGGCACTTTCCGAGAGTAGCTGATGAATTGTCGAATAGTCGTGCTGAAAACAATTCGAATAAGATTTTCGTGTTCATTATACTTTGAGTTGCGAGTTTCGCTCGAACAGCAAGGATATCTCAGGATATTGGATTCGTAAATTAGATGTCACATCAGTTTAAATCAACATTAAATAGCTTTAAAAATTGCCGGGATCGTTTTCGATATTCAGTTTTCGTAACGGATTAATTGATTTGAATCAATTTGCGAGTGAATAAATTTATCCGATAAAAATTATCTACGTGAAGATTAATAATTCTGTTACCACACAAACGTAGTATATTGATAGATGGGTGAATCAATAAACGTTTAAAAGGTCAGACAAGCGATCGATGATAGATAGACAGTCAGTCTGTGAGAAAATTAATTATTTATTGGAATTAACATTAGGTAGCTGAGATTCGAAATTTCACACAGCGTACAATTCGATTTGAAAAAAAATAAAATGTAGACGATAATGAATTCGTCGAAAATCCTAATTAAAAGTTAAAACGTCGACAGCTAAACCATCCGCGAGCACCCTCCAACTTCATATCTCACGATTGCCAAAAGACAAATTATTAAAGGTTAAATAAATGGGGCACTACCCTCTACTTATAACAATCTGTGTAATCAATTCCCTAGTTTAATCATTCACCATACACGCGCCGGTCTCGCTACCCTCCGCTCTTTTGCAGGGGTGGGTTCTTTAGAAACTTTTCAGAGAGGCCTTTTGCAGCTACACAACCCCCGATGTCTTGATATATTACACTATTAATGTGCCAGGAGATCCCACAAGAAGGAGTTTACATTCGAATGTTTTCAATGCAAAAAAGAAGGAGTGTTTTACTTAAAAACGCAACGAAAGTTTTGAGCTTTTTTTTAAAGGCATTTCCGGGAGACGGGAGATAAATAACAAACCAACTAACCTTTTCGCGACATTACTATTGAAATATTTTTAACTTGAATACATCTACCTGATGCAATGTAAATATTTCCATTGGTTTGCTTTATTCGAGTCGGAGGGAATAAATAATTAAATTAAAATACCGTGTTACTAAAGCGTTGTTAAACAGAAAATCTTTCGCGATTCATTAAAAGTTTCGCTAATCTTCGTGTTGAAGTGCAAGCAAAATTTAAATATACATATTTCACAAATCCTTATTGTGAAAATGCGGGGCCCTAATGAAAGCTTTACATGAATTAATTAAGTACACTTACAAGCATATTGTTCCTGTTACATTCCGAACAAGGTACCAAAACGAAATTTCTTGAAACTCCCGGCCGGAATAGAAGATTATATGCAAACATGATACCGTTGAATATATCACTGTTGCCTTGTCCTAAAACAGGAAAAAAAAAAAATATATATATATATATATACATTATACCATATCGTACTACACGATCTGTCATAATCCTTTTACTGATATTGCGTTATGCAGGAGAAACTTCAAATGATTAATTTACTCTGATATTGAAATGGTAATAATGTATGTATATTAAACCTATCCAATAGCACTCTTGGTAAATTAATTCCATAAAAAAAAAACTATTATTTATTAATTAATTTGAGTACTTACCTATCGAAATGCTGTCGAAATATTGATGAACGTTTTTAGCATCAGTAAAAGTTTGTCCATTAATGACGATACTTCTAGGTTCATCGTACACACCGAAACCTCCAAACATAACCACCGCGTATCTGCATAGAAACAAATTATTTACGAACAAACGAAAATTGATAAAAATTTACCTGTTGTTTTTAATGTTCTGTTCTTCGAGCGCCTTTTCCAACGATTCGACAACGCTATCGAAACTTCTGGATTTTCTTAGGTCTTTATTACAGTCCTTCGCTTCCACTATAAAAACGATATCCGCAGTTTGCGGAACATGGCTTCCTTGTAATCGAATGAAGTCACCTTCCCGGTACTCGGAGCCATTTAGTAAATTACACCTGATATAAAAAAGGGGATTACGAAAGGCACCAAATCTCGGTCAACGAGAGGCAGTTATTACATTAAGTTGTCACTTTCCAGCGAGTCCACGTCGCTCTCGTCTTACCGTTCACGCGATTTTTTATTTTATTTTATATTTTTTTGAATGGCAGAAAACTCGCCTAAATTCTGTATTCAAAACGAGACAACGCCACGTCCACGAAAACGGATAAATATTTCATATAAAATTAATGAAACTACAACCGCCAATTTTTCGTTCGATCAGATTCCGAATTGATGTTCCACAATACGTGAAATTTATTTCGATCGACGACACCTCACCTTCAACCTGCCGTTTCTTTTTTTTTCTAAACGATCCGATACATTCAGGCGCCCCGAAGGGCTTATGAAATATGTATACGAATTGCTTGTTACTTAATAGAACTGTTACTCGGAGTTTAACGTTAAAAAAACTTACATAAACCATAACAAGTCGCAAAGAAAAATATCTCATTTTAATAAGACGTAATGAATTTAACATTCGCTTACTTGACGCAAGTATCGGGAATCCTCAGCGGGGTGTTTGCGTACGAACAAAGGTTGATGTACGAAACGGCGGACATGCAGGCTTCCTCTTGCGTTTTGCTGTTCAAACACATATCCAGGAAGCTCTCTTTAGGGACCCGCGGGAAGCACGTGCTCAGCTGCGATACCTTATCAACACAAAAAAAGCAAACAATGCCTAAGCAAACCACTCGGTTTATTATTACTTACGGTATTGCTGAAGAAATCTGCGCACATTAGCCATATGTCTTTGGGTACTTCGGAGCGATTTAGCGTTTTGTACTTTTCCGCTTCGCCGTTCTTGCATTTTTTATCCAAAGCCCAGCTGTCTCCGAATTCCTTAATTCCCCTTTCGCTAACCCTAGTTTTATTGGAACTTAAGAAATCATCGGTAGGCTCATTATTGTAAGTACCCCATAAACCTGCTGTTTTACCGTAATACCATCCTAAACAAAAATAACATGTAATAGTGTATGGAGTGTTTTATTATTATGTGCAAATAAACTCTAAGCTCATATAAAATAAATAAATTAGATTCTTAAACGTTTGAAAACAACCGCCCACGCACGTTGAATTCGTATTTCGGTTATCAAAAAGTGATTAAACGATCGTGATCCGCTACAGGTTCTCATTCTTTAAAATAAATTTTCATTTCCGAAGCATCGCTCTCTTGGAAATAATTAATACTGGGAAATTTCTCAAATTAATCACTCCTTGGTCCCGGCTCCGTTTTGCAGCTCATTTAAATCCTTTCTACAGGGTGCTCGACGGATTCGCGAATAGGAAAACGTTGAATAATCCGTTAGGTGGAAACGGGAGATTTCAATGGAACGATTGTGATGGAATGGGAAAAATTAAATGATGTTTAAATTGAAAAAATAAATAAAATCCAGTAGTAGCTAGCTACTCGTGCTGTATATGACATGCTAATTTAGCAAATTTATGTTTTTTATGAAAAACGAGCATCCTTGTAAAATGTCTTAAACGCGAACTTCATTTGAGATATTCTGCGAAATTTTCTTACCAGACATTTCAAACATGCAGGTATGGAACTTCATATTACACTCCAAGATAAATCCTAGCTGACTTTCCGCTTTGAATAACCCCGAATCTTTATAAAGATATGTTTCTCCAATTTGCATGGGAAGCCTTTCTACTTTCGAATCTCCGGCCAGGACTCTCTGGAAATATGAAATAATGGATGAGTCGCCGGACTTTCGGGTCGAATTTAATTAAATATACTAACGTCGTTGAAGAAATCGATTCGGACAATTTCCTTTTTAACGATCAGTAACAATTCGTTGGTGGTGCCCGTTTGATCGTACGAAGCGAGAATTGTGAAATTTCTGTCGACGAAATCTTGGGCTAATAAGTAAGTACACTTTCCGCGGAATTGGTAGAATTTGCGATCGAACGTCGCGTAGAATTTCGATCCTACTATCATAGCATGTCCTAAAGAAAAAAAAATCAATGAAATATTTTCGAATTTTATCGATCGTTATAATAAATACCTTTAAATGGTGGCAATATTTCGCTAGGGTTCAGCCACGGTTTGTAATCGTAATACAAATTCCAGAACGACAACTCGGTTTCTTCGAAGAAGCTTTGGAGATCGAATATTTTTTTTATTTCGGGAATTTCCTAAATAAATAATTACGTTTAGTTGAACAAAATGAGTATATGTTTTGTTAATAAAATACCTTAAATTTGGGTGTTTCGTTAAAAGCATGCCAAGGCATCGGCAATTTTTGTTCAAGGAGCATAATCCCATCGTCGGGTTCGAAATAAAATTTAGTTTTAGCTTCTCTTTGCCTATAAATTAAAATCGAAATGTAGAATCGAATTAATAACTCTATTTTAAACCGGAAGGAACTAATAATAGAGCCAATAATTGCGTTTAAATCGTATAAATTAAATTAGAATTTAAATAGATAAATCAAATAGTTTTTATACACTAACGCTTAATGTTATCCGAACTTCATAAACCACAATTTGCTTTCAAAATAGAAAACTGACACAGTGGTAATTCGATGCATCAGAATATTACACTCACCTATTTTCAATTTCCAGCGCTGTGAGTGACATATCCGAAATTTTATCATAAATTATTTGAAACAGTTTATGGATTTTGGTCTCCACATCGAAATAGTCGTAATAGTATTTAAAACGATCGAATGCCTCCCGCCATTTGTTTATCAAAAACTTCACGGACGGTATTTCGCCGATTTGCATCAGCTCCTCCGCGATTTCGTTCACAACGTCGATCGTTTCTTTACCGAAAGGAATTATCGTCAAGTATTTTTCTTTCAGGAAATTCCAAGCTATTTGCGTGTATTTATAAAGGCTCGCTATTGTGTTACTGCCTCTAATGTCTCTGTAGAACTTGTCCAGGTCCTGCGAGAACTTGGTGAATCTCAGGAAATAGGGCGATTCGATTATTTCGTTTTTTCTAATGTACAAGAAATCTGCAACGGAATTTACGTTTAACTACGTTTTTTTTTTAAATTCAAATTGTTACCTAAAAATTCCTTTCCGGTATGCCAAGCAATCGATTCCAAGTAGTGGATGAATTTCAAAAATGTTGGTTCTATGCTAGCCAGCATTTTGTGCCATTGCTCGACGACCACAGCGGACATTTGCGCCCACAAATTCTCCATGTATTGAATAATAGCGACGTGCAAATTTTTAATGAATTCATCGTATTTTTCCACGAGTTTGTCGAGCCCCATGCTCAGGTGCACCATCGGATCGTCGTTTAGTAAGTCGTGAATGAATTGCGTGGCTTTTTGATAGTAAGTAACGAGCTAGAGATCGGAACGGTTAATGAGCGAATTGATTGAAGATTCTCGATTTACCTTGTCCTTGACCCACAAAATGCTCTCTTTGATTTTCTTCCCGGAATCGCCCATTACGCTCCAAATTTCTTGGACTATTTTCGGTAGAGTTTGCAGTTGGGATTTAATCGCTAGATCGTCGAAAAGCGTTATGATTATGTTCGTGATGTCTTTGATGTAAAATTCGTTAGCTTCGTACGATTCGTTTAGGAATATTTTGAAATCGTTGAAATCTTGCTCGATGATTGTTATGTGTCTAAGATCTTGAGAGAAATGGGATAAATACGGTAGAGCGTCTTCGAGAGTGCCATTTATCGCTTCTACGGTTTCCATTCTAATGTATTGTTTATTATTATTAATCGCCTCAAGAATATTTTGGTACATTTCTTTAATATTATTACGGAAACCAGTCTAAAATGAAATTGATTCAATTATAAAATTGACTGCGTTGTTGATTTTAATTTATACACAAACTATATGCGATACTTACGAGAATATTTACGTTTGTTTATTATTAGTGTTAATTGCAATAATGTTTATTTGGTTAAAAAAAAAAAATGAAAACATTTTGTCATCGTTGCGTGAATACTTAATTAATTAAATTGCAAGTAATTTATTTTAATGAATATATAAACAATTAATTTTTCGCTGCGATGATTCCAATTAACAATTAAATATTTTCAGTAAACAGAGCAGTAACTAATTATAAAACGAATTAAACAAACTCACCGTTACATCGCTAATTAGATCAGGTCTCCATTTTAAGGTGGACATTATCAGACGAGAATGATTTAATCGCAGGAAATAAGCTACGTCGGATATCCTTTTGTCATCGTAATCCCTCCAAATGTCAAAGTGAGCACTACGAGCATCTGGGATAATGCCGTACATGTGAAGACTTTGAGATCCATCTGAAATAATAAAAAGAGAATTAACGAAGTTAATTTGGAACCAGCCATTTGTAAAACTTAATTAGATTCCATCTCGAGATTTACAGCAACAAACTGGATTGTGCTGCACCTACTCAAAATCTCATAAATTGCTTCATTAGTATTGTATATTTAATGGTAAAAATAAAGCGTATCGCTCGACAATGGTGTGTTGTTACTAATTTGCGTGATAATTCTGGAGGAAAATCGTTATACTAAATAAATTCGAGCGAAATTAACGATAAAAAAAGTTTAGAGGGTGGGTCAATTATAAAAATATATGGCGGAGGAATCGTTTGCACCCACCAGCATTTCAAACTGCTCTCTTCAGAAACTTGTATAAAGTGTGGTGCGAAATTGTGGCGTGGAGGAGAAGAAAGTTGGAAATATCTGAACATTTTAAAGCTATTAGAGATATAAAGTGTTCCGTGACATTTTGTTATTTGAGAAATGGAAAAATCGATACATTAAAGCTGTGGATATATACCTACAGAAAAGTTCACCGTAGAATACATTCAGATTGAAATGTTACTTTTAGGGCACTTTTGTTAGCTATACGAAATATAGAATTTGCACATCGAGAGATTAAATTAAACATCCGTTATTAATCTGTTTCGGTAGAAAAATGGAAATGAACTAATATGAATAATTGAATGTTTAAAAGTACATTTTCCTTTTTTTTTGATAATAAATGAACGCGCGAAAGTATTTCGAAGTTCTATATGCTCGTATAGTCGCTAGATAGAAGCTCCGTTGCAAAGCATATTTGCAGTTTCTTGAGCTAAGTTCCATTAAATTCACTCTGATTGATTTCAAATATTTAATATTTAAACAGCACGGAATTCGGATTTTCTGCACACGCAAATTGGATTGAGCATTGCGATGCTATTTTTATTACTTCGGTTTGTAAATGCATTTCGTTAATGTTGGTAGGTAAGTAGATTGGAAAGTCAGGGAAACTTTGATGTTGCGTCTCTTGAAAGACGCAAATTTTGATATTTTCTTAATGGTACTGCGAAATCCGAGAAATCTATTTGTTTTTGATAAAAGATAAATGATTCGTTCGTATAAGAAGTGTTTCGAGTTGATTTAACGCTTGAAAATGCTCCAACGTTGTCCGTTCTTGTGAAGTTAAATTGAAACTACCGCGCTTTTTATATTTTTAATAACACGTCTGGTTTTATTTAAGATATGATTAATGTGTCTTGTTAGGAACGGGTTTGTTTTGACAGGGAAAGCTCGGATTTCCCTCGGAGAAAAAAAAAATCTAAAACGTCGCAAAGCGAAAATAACAAAACGTTGTTGATGAGAGATGATACCTAATAATATTCATCGTAGTTTTACCTTCTGTCATGTTGAGGTTCAGGTAAAGCAACTTGTTCTTCAAATTAACGTAAAACTCCCCTTCGGTGTTATTAGTATCGTAGATGGCTGACATGTTTGCCGTGTAAACGGGAAATTCCCCGCCATATTTTCCCCAGAAATAAGATTTTCCGCTTGCAACATTGTCTACCTGTAACGAATAATATATATATATATTTCAGTTTATCCCTTATTTCTATAGACAGTGCTATTATGGCTTGACGTATTGTGAACAAACAAACTTATTATTTGGCAGGAAATTGATCCTGCAAGATTGAGTCTCCGTCGAATTTTAACATCTGAAAGAGAAGAGCCTTTACTTTCTTGATGGGCCCCGTTTATTTTTAGAACATAGAGAGGTAAAGAGCCACAATGGCAAATTTATCGGTTCGCTTAATTATTCGAGCATCCTGCTGAGCGAACTCCTGTAATTACTACTATGATTTGCAATTTTAAAATTATAAATGACGGTATATCGATGGCTTGACATACATCTTTTGATATCGAAAGAAATCGATGAACGATATAACGAACACATTATATAAGCTTAAAATAAGTACATAATGATGTTTTTTTTTATAATATTTCCTTCCTTTCTTGTTTTATCATCGACACGTAGGCGTTAACAAATTTCTTTATGGCCGGAAACTTTTTTTTAAAAACAAAAATTAATTTAACTTTCGATTCGAGTTTATGAAAGTACGTATGGGGGAGATTAGATTGCGGCGTATGAAGAAGATGTATGTTGATTTATAAGAGAACCGAACACAAACGATTCTCTTCTCGAAATTGACAAAAGTTATAATTAGGTAGAAAAAAAAAATGTTTGTTTTTTGTTTCTCGTAAAGCAAAGTTGTAAACAACTGACCCGAAACAAATCATATTTGATTTCAATTACGTTTTGTTATACGCTTTTTTAAAACAACGCGCTAAAGGCGAACTCGATACAAAGGAAAGATTTCTGTTAACACCAACATAAAAAAATTAATTACAATAAAGCCTGCCAGATCCAGGATACCGTTGAATTATCTCGGCAACTTTTTTCCTAAAGATTTTTTCAAGGTGTAGATTATACAATCAAAGACTTATCTCACGTGAAGGTATCAAAACGTTGAGGTTGACTCGAACCTCGACATCTTTGTAGCTATTTTCGGTTTTCTTTATTAAAAATTTTGCTTCGAAACCACTTCTCTACGTCAAATGCAAGAGCGAAAATAGCTCAGGGCTTTCTTCAACATATTCTGCCTCGATGGCAACTCTCAAACATCAGCAGAGACGCCGAAAATACTAATTATTTCTTTCATAAATAATTTATTGAATAGGAGTAAAGAAGTTAATGACCAAATAGTCGATGTATAAAATAAATACGTTTACCTTTAACTCAATTTCGTTGTTGTCGAAATTGATTTTAGCCAATGCTTCTGATTTGGAAAAGGGCAAATAGGAGCGATGATAATCCGTGATGTGTTCAGTGCCGAAAGCGCTGGGGTTCCAATAAAAATCTCCGTTCGAACTTAAACTCAAACTGGTTGCAACGTGCTCGGCCCATATATTGTATGAGTAGTTGTAGGTCAATGAATTTGAGTTATCATTTACTTTGCCTCGCAACGTTAGCGCTCGATTCGGATCTAATGAATATTTCACCAGCAGTTGCCCGTCTATAGAAGATTTATCGTAACCGTATTCGCTGTCGAACGTTACATCCTGTGGAAAAAAAATAAAATAAAATAAAATTTACCTATACAGCCCGATGAGCTTTTAGGGGGAACGAGCAACAGCCTGTGTTCTCTGTCGCGCGGTTATTTGAAAGAGAATCGCGGGAAACGTTATAAATTTTCTTTTGCACATTCAACCTATCGAACCATTAATTGCTCAGCGATTTAATATAAGTTCTTACCGCCTACCAATTTATTTCGCAATTACTTAAAAGCTACTTGCTTGCATTCTATTAATTTCTTGACGTGAAATTTGAACGCTAGTAATAGTTAATTTTAAATGGGGATATCACAGGATTAATCAACACAGCAAATATGCAACAAGATTTGTTCCAAAGACCTTAATTAAAAGCGAATGGAAGTGGTTTGCGTGCTTTTTACAATATGTACTAGCTTATTATATCCAAGAATCCAATTATACTGAAGCTAATGGATCAAATTACATGCCGGCAACAGGAATATGTCAATTCTGTAATTTTAACTAGTAAAATGTCTAAAACATTTTAGTTTTTTTTATCACGATAATAATTAAAAAAAAAAACCTCCAAACAAATCGTAATAAAACCCCAACAATTACTTAACCGATTATTAATTCAATCATCGTTATTTCCAGCTAGTAATTCAAATAATTTTCATCTTCTTCATACAATATATAAATGCCTTCTTTCGGACAATGAATGAATTACCCCCGAGCCGGCTGTCCGTTGAAAAAGGAAGCATCCAACCTTCAAAAATGCCCATCTCTCATCGCTTTCATCCGTGGCTTTTTTTTTTAAATGCGGGAAAATGTAAAGGGGAAAAACAAAATTTCCAAACCGCGAGATTGTAACATTCGGTGGCGGAAAAGTGTCGGCGATAGGTAAAGGAATATAAAATTTTTAATTAGTCGGATGAATGTCCACGTCGCGTCGTCTTGTTTGCGTTTATACAATTCTGAGGAACCAATTTTTGTTGGGGATTTTCCTAAATTGGTTTTAATATTTTCACCGCGATCGATTTAGGTGTGGACGATTTCGGGAGAAGCGAAATTGGAAATTAATGTGGCCCGATTCGTTGTCCCCTTGCGTCGCAAAGAAATTCTTCTATGCGCTATTTATTAGGGCTAATTTCGCACGTGTAATTCGTTGAATCCAATAAATGAGAATTCCAATTGAAAAGCTAAAATCCGTGATTAAATGTTTGGGTAAAATTTTAGTTGATAGTTTAGTGTCGGTAAAGAATAATTGAAGCATTTAAAAGTTGTTCATGCGAGCTAATATTAATTTAATTTGTTGTAATTAACGATACATTTATGTATGTAGTTTTCTGTGTGTTGATTACATCAAAAGGTATACAGATGTATAATCAAAATTTCTACCATAGTTGCTTGTTTCCAGTGAATTTCATGAATAATTTGGGTTAGATCACTTTTATTTGCTCGTTATTAATTTATACATGATTAGGCATTGTTTTGCAGAAACACGCCGAAACTTCGATATAGATGTGCATTTATGTATAGATGTTTAATATCAGGAAGTCTCCCATTTCTATATAAATTAGTTCGTTTTCTCCGATATCCATAATGGTGTGAAACATCGAATTAATAAGCTTGCAAACAATTCCTACACTATCTGTATGATTTACCTCAAGTTTAATCCATTTAACAAGCAATAATGATCTCGAAACTGAATTTAGAACTTTCGGTTATAGATAATTAAGTAATATTTCAATCAGTAGCGCCATTGTGTAAGAGCTAAATGCAAATTAATCAGCGTAAAATGTAATTAGGATGAAAGAATGGTGTAAATTTTTTTTGTGAGAATAAATTGTTTCGGTTAATTCAATTACTATCGAAAAAGGTTACGAGTTAATCGGTGGATAATGTTTGCATGAATTTGTTCGTTTATAACAGCAATTCATTGTTTTTTAACGAAATAATACCGAGCAAAGTCGAACGAAATTTATTCAAAATTGTATAATTTAGTAGTCTATTGAGTTTATTTAATTTATGAAACGTACGTGAACAGCCGATAAAGCTAAATAGGTCCAGTAATTAAAATAGCTATAAATTCAAATGTAGGTTATTATAGAAGAAGTAAAACATTACGAATTTCTGTTTCAACAACACCACTTAATGCTTGTAGCTTTATAATTTCGGTTCTTCATTGAAGTAATAACCTCATCAAGCGGGTAAAATGTAGTTTTAAGGAATTTCATTTAAGTCGAAAATCCAATTCTCATGTTTTTAAGTGTTTGTTATTTTGAAGTTCATTAGCCTATTATTATAACCTGTAGAACATGCTGGAATTCGGATTATTCGAATTTACATTTAACCCTCCATCTGCGTTTTCCGGCTGGAAATTCTAAACATTCCTGCAGACTTAAACGTTCTTACAGCTAGGTACATCCGAAACTTTGAGAAGAACAGGTTATCATATAATATATCTTTTTTTTTTACTTTTCTATTATTAAACGTAACATGCAAAATTAAATTTATATAATTGTACTTACCCTTTCGAATGTAGGATGTTTCAAACGGAGCGATAATTGCTTACGTTGAAGTGAAACACGTCGCCAATCTAAGCCCGCTTGAACACTCTTATTATCTTTGTCATACACCAGTGATACATCAGTAGACACAATTGAATCACTTATGTTATAGAAACCTTTAACGAGGAAACTTCTTCGAGGATAGATCACATTAATAGTAACTTCCTGGGCATCGATCGTGTCATCCTAAAAATAGAAACATCTCCAGCATTAAATATCGAAGGAATCGTCCGGAACAATTAAGCGAAAGAGTTTACGATCGAAAAAATATTCGAGAGGTAAAAAGAGATTTAAAATTCATCGAGTTTCGGCCATGGAACATCTGAAAAGCCAAAACATGAAAGAAACATTTTATTACCCGGCTCTTGTTAAAGAGATTGAGGTCGTATTCAATCCAATTGGAGGGGCTCAACTCTAACCTCGAACGCTGCTTGTACCCTTTATCCAGAATGTCATAGTCTGTCCAGAATTTAACAATCCTATTTGAGTGGACGGCAGTTAGCTTATATTCACGGCCACTCCACTTTGTTAATATATCCAGATCCCCGGAAACGTTGAATTTCGATTGATTTTTCAAATTGTATAAATGGACGTGGCGCTTATCCTGGAACAAAAACATTTCCTATAGTTAGTCTGGTATAGATTAAGATTTGTAGGTAAATAAGGAGCCGTGTTTTAGTCGAGTGCGAATCGATAATTTAATTGTCACAACGGTATAAATTAATCACCGGATTTTATCTGTCATCAGTTTGGACAGATTATCAGAAACATGACCGATTTTCGCTCAGCTATTGTTGTATCAAACCGATACAAATTAGCAGGAACTCAAGCGTCCCTGAAAGACTAATCCATCATTATCCCGCAAATTCATTTTCTGGTTGGGTTTATATTTGTTTTCCTTCGCGTTAATTTCTAAGTGATTTCACCAGCGCTGACAACTTTGATAATTTTATCTCAACATCTCAATTTAATGATACATCTACCTCAGAACATGCACGAACCGCTATTGATTTAAACTTTAGTTGGCTGTAAGGGTGGCCCACTTTTCACTTTACAAAGAATCAACCGAGCACGCTATGTTTTGTTGAGTTAAATTTGTTGCCGTTCATACAATGAAACTTCCTCGGATAACTTCGTCTAACTTTGCACATCAAATATCTTTTTACTACTTAATTCCTGCGCGGCGATTATTAAAAAAAAATCCGCCCAAATTAGGGTATCGCTTAGAGGAGTGTTCGAGGAGTGAACGATGCAATTCGGCGTGATGAACGTGTGAAAAATCCATTCGTTTTGTTCGAAATATCGAGGCGTAAAATGGAGGAATGGACACAACTCATAAGCTCGCACAACCGATTCCTTTACTAATCCTTCGACAAAATAAATTATCGCCAATTCAAACTTTCCTACGGCGGCAACTTTTTACCGAAATGAACTGTATACTTCAGTCGAATTTATTCGCCATCGTTCCGCACATTGCATTCATTCTTTATGCCGCTTCCGGCGCTTTCGTCAAGGCACCTATACACCTAAGGATTTTAGTGAGTATAGGCCTTTTACCCACCCCCTCGAAAGGTGAAGATATTACCTCTTTACATTCTTTAAACTTGCTGTTGTTTTGATTTACCGCCGCGATTTTATTTTACCCCGCCGTAAAACGCACGGTGTTTCGTCTGCATGAAAAATCTATAGATGATTGTCGTCCTGTATCATAGAAATAGGTCGAATTAATGCCTGTCTATGAATTAATTTAATGTTTCTAGCATCAGAGCGAAGTGTCAACGTTTGCGGTATACCTTTTAAATGACGAGCTTACTGTGTGATGTAGAGGTCCTATAGTTTAATGGTTTCCTCGTTGCAAAACTATTATGAAAGCATTAACGGCGGTCTCGAGGCGGGCGAGGAAAGCGCGAAAAGAATCCAGCCATATTTGCCGGTGCATTCGAGGGAAATTAGTGGAACAGAAAGAGAAAGCGTAATTTGGGATAATGACTTTTTCGCGTAAACTGTTTAGCGAAAAAGTGAGAGTTCCGTTCGAGCTGAATTTCAGAATTAAAATCGTATCACTAAAAATAATTCGCGCTAACCCGGCCCGGGCGGAATTTTAATTTGTTTATCCGGCAGTTCGTTGAATCGGAGAATGGCGGGGAAAAAAATGCTTCGCATCAGGCGATGTACTCTCGATTTCCACTCCGGATGGTGCAACGCGCTAAATTTACCATTGATATTCTTGACCGACTCGTACACATGCATCACTCTTAGAAAAAAGTTGTTACGTGACCGTTGATAGTTCTAGCTAGGAGAAAAAAAAGAAGAGAAGTCACGTGACAGCATAGAAGGCCGATAAATCAGCATCCCCCATGAATCCGGCGTAATCTATGGCTTCGCAGAGGGGTGCATCTTTTGGGGAAAAAGGCGCCCCCGCGTCCGCTTATCAAAAATTTATTTTACTTTATACAAAATTCAAACTCGACAGAACAAATAAGATGTTTTTTTTAACCGTATATACGAGTGGTTTATATTATGTAGATATATTCCAACGCTCGGTAATCGTAAATAACGACGATTAGATTACGATAAAAGCGATGGAAAATGTTTAAGAATAAAATTTGTATAATTGAAATTCGATATATTGACGCCACTGGCTAAGCCACATCGGTTCTTTCCTTCGAAGTTACAACCTTCCTCTATACTCGAAACTTCGAAGAGTGCTTTTAATTTTCTATTATTTTGTTCTCCGTTTCTCTATCATTTTGTCTTTAGGTTTTAGAGAGCACAGATAAAGGTAATGCATCCGTACCGACCTTTTGCTCTTATCGACATCGGCAGTCTCGTGTTCCGGAAAAAATACCTTTTTAGTGAAATAGAAAACGAATTATTTATCTTTTTGTTTCCAACCAGAAAATTTCGCCTCTGGAATTCCATTATCCTGTGGATTTACGGGCGTATCTTCTTTGTTTGGAAAAAAGATTTAAATGTCTTACAAATGTTTTATACGAGACGAATATTGCAAAAAAATAATTTCGAATGAAAATCTCAATTCCGCCGGAATATTACACAAGACGACGCTAGGCTGTTTCGCGTGTTTATGATTTTACGTGAAAGAAAGTAAGGAAACCTATAGAGGAAAATTAAATGTGCACATCCTACGCAATTTATTTTGGATTGCGCAGTAGTTAGAGTGATTTTTCCGAGAAATATCTAGCCAATGGGAAAAGTTGTAGGTGTGGTGATCCATGCGCAAAGTATAACCTAATTACCCTTTCGGGTGTTTTATTTTAATAAAATAATTATTAACAAAGCTATGCTTCCGTTTGAATTTCCCTATTTTTATTAGGAAAACCCTTTGAGTGTGTTAAATTATATTTTAACCCTACTAGCAATGTTTACCTTAAATAATAAGAAGGGATGAAGCATATACGCCTCGGAGCAAATATTATACAAAGGAAGAATATTAACTAATAGAAAAAAAAAATCATTCTATAAGTTTCTCTAAGATACTAAATTAATTCCGGGAAACCTTAGAGCAATATTGGAAATACTTTGAAATTTGAAATCTTAATAGTAAAAGCTTTCGTTACTCCCGACAAGGTTTTAGTGATGCTTTCGACTGACTCAATTACACAAAAAGGGAAGTACTAGTAAGCTTTACAAAATTAATTATTTATAATGTTAACAACACAGTTTCCCAAAGCATCGACTCGATAAAAAAGAAAACGCCACAGTCAAGATTTTATAATTAATTTGTATAAAGTTAAATATTTAACATGAGAACCAGCCATGTGGCGGTTTAATAAGGAAATAGAAATAAGAACCAATATTTTACTTTGCTTGCCTTTGAAAGTGTTGATGGTAAAATTGAAATGCTTACTAAAATTCTCGGAAACTTTATATATTAGGGAAAATATAATACTTGTATATCGCATACATAAATATATATAGGAAACTTCGTTCCAAGTTTGTTGAATTACCTACTCAAATTAACTTTTGGACTTGGAGTGAAAAATGCGTAGATATCAGACTAAGCTGCAAGGAAAGAAAAAAAAAAACAAGAATTTAAACTTACCGTTGTTGCGTCTTCTGGCATTCCGTACTCATGTTTGTAAATGTAATCCGCTCCAACGGGCACCAGTTCATTATGGAGTTCTACGTGGACCGTATCAGTATCCTTGCCCGCTTGGGATTCAGACAGCCGGTTATATTTCCCCTCCAGGACGCTGTCACCATTGTAATTGACCGTGGCCTGGCCTACGCTCAATTTCTCTTTTTCCTATATAGAGTAGCACAAACAGAAAAAAGATCAGAAATGGAGAAGAGGTTGTTTCTGTTCGGTGTTGCGCTTATATATAGATACTATCGATATAATTATAGTTAAAACTTTTGCAGAACTGTAACGGAAGTTTTGTAAGATAAGAGTTAAATACGAAACGGCGCGCCGCGCCGGCCGTTTGCTGTTATTTTTTGCTTTCAACTAAATTCAAAAAGTTTATATTCGAATCGTTATATGGTAGGTTTGTTAAAGAAAAATTAACTTTAATTGAGTCGGATATTCTATACTCTAGAGATGTAATTACTAACCAATTTGTTATATTGGAAATGATTGGTCGATTTTTCATGTTTATTTTAAACTGCAAATCCCTCGGGCCTATTCCGCTAATACAGAAAAGTTCACTTAACTTTTAACTTTAATTTAAACCGGAAATTTTGTTCAATCCACAATTACGTAGTACTAGCTATTTTTATTTAATAATATACTTAGAGAAAAACCGATTGGAATTAACACAAATTATTAATTTTATAAATAATGTTGATACTCTTAATAATTTATCATCTACTGACTTAAATATGCATGCAGCTGTCTGATAGTTACTAGAGTGTACTAAATAATTTACAGAATTCCTTTGTGTAATTAGAATCCTATGGATTACTAACATTTGCTTTGAAAATATAAACCCCATTAACCAATCGAATGCATTTATATTATAGGTATCCTTTACCGAATGAATAGTGCAAAATATTACCTAATATGCAAATTATAACATCATTCGGATTTAAACTAATGCTGTACAAATTCGAAATCTGATAACAGCTGTTTCTAAAACGATGAAAAGTGCGCAGATTTTCCACGTAATTTCTGCTTTGATTTCACCAACTCCTATACAAATCTGAAGCAGTATTTACCAAAGGATTCGAATAAGACTTATAGAGGAAAGATAAGAAATTGTTTAATTTAAATTTAACAAATACGAAATATAAAGCAATAAAATAACTAATGTTTTTTTTACGAAACAAAAATCGTTTCATATACAAATTAGGTTAAAATGTTTAGGTAGTTTAAAAATATGAATTTAGTAATACCACCCGGACTAAACCGACTAAATGGAAATTGATTAAAGTATAAACCGCATGTCAATCTATTCCCCGTTCCGCTACATCTTAGCAGGAAAATTTGCAGAGTAAATCCGAATTCGATATAGAGGTACTTACATCATAATCATAGTCAACCAAGGCAATATGTCTGGTAGTCAGGGGTAATTCAATAATTAATTTACCCTTCGTGTTACGATCCAGCACAGAAGGCCCGATTTTCATGTTACATTTATTATCTAAAAGTGCATTGTCCTTATCCCAAAATACCTTGATGTAGCGATTGTATACTTGACTGAAAAAAAAAATAGAATATTATCGAGATTTACATAAAGAAGCGGAATTTCGTCGAGTATGTTAACATATAGAGCTTCAAAACTGGTATCTTTTCTCACAATTGTGTAACAATTCATTCAATATTTTACCATCTGCAGTTTTGTAGCAACATTGCAACGAAATTCCTGCTGGAGTTTCCGTCGGTGAAATTTCTACTTTTTGCCAAAACTTTTTTGAATTGTCTGCGTTGAGATATAGAGGCACATTAGGTTCTGTGAATTTAAAATCATATTTGATTTTCCGGTGTATTCCTGCACATCTATCGCAAAATTGAAAACTTCAAAGGCGACTATCGATGAAAGACCATATAGATTGTAAAAAATGATACAGCGTTTCATGTTCGAGGCTTTTCAAAAGTTCCGCTGTCAAATGCGCGAAAAAAATGATTGCATTACGCCCTTTTTACAGTTCACATTTACTATTAGCCAGTAAAAGCGCACGCTATTCACACTTGCGTTAAATCAAAAAATATTAATAGGTCGATATTGAATATCGCCGATGAACAACAAAAAAAATTATCCGTGATAAAAGGGTCTTGAGGGATTAATATCTTGTTGTTGAACGAAATTTACAACTGATTTTAGAGGAGATATCGTTCTGGATCAACTGTGTAAACGTATTCATGTAAAGCGATATAATTAATGACCAACAATAACTGACGACATAATCAATTTTCAGATTTTATCTGGAAAATGTATTTCGAAAAGTAAAGTGTAATTTATTGGGATTTCGAAAAAAAAAAAAAACAACTACCAAAAGTCATTAATATTCATCGACTCGACGGAAAAGTTAATTAACATTTTTTTTCAATTTTTTAGGTAAAAATTGTAACACACAAATGGAAAGATTATGTTCCGGTATAACGCTTTTAGTGTTGTCGTTTGAATAAAAGTATTTAATCCGTTTTAGTTTCCTTCCTTAACCGGTCGCAGATTTGCATTATATTTAAATGGAAAATCGGAAATGGAATTTGTTTCAATTACAAACTATTCTCTAACAGTAGATAGAGAAAAAGTTGGTTGACCACAAAAAAAAATAAAACAAAAAATGCAAATGCAGACCGATCCGATTTTAGGAAGTGTCCTGGGGCTTTTAGAGCAGTCCTAACAGCACCGACCTGCATTTTCTAACATAAAATCTATCAACGATAAAATCTCGACCCTCATTGATGCCGAATTTAAGCCTAACCATTTTCCACCAAGTAGGCAATATTTTAACCAAACATTGACCCATCAGTAGTAAAAGTTTTACTACTTCAAACCCAACTCAAAGAAGGAAACTCATGTGTATAATCAGCAAACCAATAAAATAAGAAGATTTACGGAACGTAACTATCATCTGTAATTTCTTCGTTCAGCAGAAACCCCAAAATGCAATGGAACAAAGAAACACCATTAGCATTAGTTGTTTTGAAATCCGACATTTTTTTTTCGATCATCGTTGCATATTTAACAACGCGGAGGGAATAAAAATCAACGAAATCCAAAATACTTACGCGTTGGTCTCGGTCTTGAAGTGCGCTCCGCTATAGCCAGAAATTTTCGGTGGAACGGAAATATTGAACATTCCATTCATATTAGCCAATTCTTTATAATCTACTGTAGCATATGCAATTGATCGATCTTCGGGGGAAAATGCTTCACATCTGGAATACAGGTCGCAACATTATTTTCCGATAAAATGGAGAAAGGTACAGTGGCGTTTTATTGCTCGCTTTGAATAGACCAACCATAAAATACATTTACATTGAAAAAAGTTTATAGACATCTACATTACATTACTTACGGTATAGATTGTAAATCGTATAGAGTGATGTAAAATTCGGTAGAAAATCGAATCATTTATTTACAATATTTTCGTTTATGAACAAACACGCCACTGATGAACAGTATGAATTCTGGGTATGGTTGAATATTTCAACGATGCGGTATAATATTCACGTTTTTGTTGTGTGGAAACTTGGAAGTTTTTCAACACGTACTTACCGAATGGGATGTTTTCTTTATTTGCGGATGAAAATACAAATGGAAAATACAATGCACAATTCGTTAAATTTTTAACGGTTCGACGAGAATTTACCCCGTGATTTTATGCAACATCAACCCCCCTCCGTTCATTGATTAATTATCGAGTAATTACAATACAATAAAAGCGATGCGATACAATCGAAGAAATCGAGCAAAGGTAATACTCACGTAAAATTGTGGCGATCGCCCAACGCTTTATATTTAATTTCCGTAACCAAATATCTTTTATCGGCGAACTTGGGGGTTTTTAATTTGTAAATTAAGTCTAATGTTTCCTCAGATCTTTTTAAATTCGCGAAGTTATTGAAGCGATCACCGTTCCACTCAACTTCGATATCGCCCAATAAATTCTGTTTGTCTTCGGTGGAAATCTGGAAAAAAGATATTTTGTTTTGTAAGCCTTTTGTCGTGGCTCTTTTAGAGGTAAATGGTTTTGAAAAGCGTCAAAGCAAATGTGTTTTAAAAACGTTTTCTTCGCGGAAAACGTGAAAATAAATTAAAAAAAAAAACGAGAAATGTACCTGTAGAAACATAAGTAGGTACGTAAATAAATGGAGTTGATGAATAAATAAAATAATAAAATAATAACTTACCTTTCCCCAAGTACCGTATTTTTTCATCGTGTAACTAGTCCTATATTTAACTAGGTAATCTATATTCCTCATAGACTTAATGTAATCCATATTAGCGAATAAACTGTAAGTTTCTCGGTGTTCGTCAGGGAATTTAACATGTGTTTCCAGAGCTTTGTGCAATTCCGGAGGATTTTCCAAAGTAATATTTGAGGATGCCCTGTAAATTTTATGAACGTTAAGTCGGAATATTGGATTTTAATTTAATTCGGATGGCGAACGATAAAAAATCTTTCATTATACGTACTCCCATAATCTGTCTATTTTGATATCTCCTCCAGCTTTAAATTTGTGGAAGGCTAATTGGGGATTTTCATAAAATCCTTCTAATGAAGACTGGCTCTCGTAATCTATGTTATGGAATTTTCCCACAGCTTTGATCATCATGTTTTCCATGTAAACGAAAATGTAACTTGCATTAATTTGTCCTCTAGATTCGGTCAATTCGAAAAATCCATACGCATCGGTTCTTAATCCGTTAATCCTAAGCGAAAATAAAAAAACAAAAAAAAAACTTAATTAATATCATTGTCCCGCATTTTCCTCGGCACACGTCATTATCATGCATTACTCGGAGCGAAGCCAGAATTTAATGGTATTTTGTTAAAACTTAAATTGCCGGCATAAATCTCCTCTCGTTTTATGTACATTCAGCAAACTGAATTCTCACATTGTAATTCATTTTAATTTCACTTTAAGTTTATCTTTCGTGTTTGTCAATTCGGAATATTAAAGCGGAAAATTTTAATTGATAAAATTTTCAACGATGTGTCTTGCTGCTTGTGTTTTCGCCGCTCGAACTTGCTACAGTACTAACCCCCCGCTATTCAAATAGATATGGAAAAGTTATATATATATATATATATAGAAATTAAACCCATCCGTTCCGGATGTTTGCGATCGAACCAATCTTCGAAATAACGAAGATACTCGTACGTAGGTATTATATTTTTCGTATAAAGAAAAATGTTTTAGCGCAACTTAAACAAGAAACACTCGATGAGCGTCTGCAGTTTAAGGCCTTTCGGGCATAACGGATTGTTTAAATCGATCGAGTTTTTACCGGGCGAACGACAAATTGTCGGGTTATGTGTTACAATTGGAAGTTCCGTCAACCGTAAACCGGAAGTTGTTCGCGGAACTCTAGCCCGGCAACTTTTCTGAGTAAACACAATGTTTATCTCTAATAAAACGGATCGTCGGTCCATTTTCCTCGCGAGAGTATATTATATACAACATGATGCGCGAAACTAAAGGGACTTCTTCAACTAGGTTCGATGGAGGTTAGCCTATATGTAATTTGCTTGAATAAATTAAAACCTCTACTGGTACATATGATAGGTTCAATGAACATTCGCCCACCCCGGAGCGAAATCGCACAACTCGCTAGCTTTTCCCCTTTTTCGAAATTCTGCTGTTAGCGTATTTCCTTCTTAACACTTCGGGGATTGATTGTAAAGGTCATTATTTCTGTCCCTTTTTTTGTGTGTAATCCCCGCGGGAATTTATGTAGACATTCTCAACCGACGGAAAAAAAAAAAACTCTTTCAGATTTTTTCATTTAATAACGAGAGAAGTTAGTTTTTAAAAGAACAGCGGGATATACGTGCTGTTGTAAAGGTGGAGGGGCCCGTCTCCTTTTTATTTTGGCAGACGATGAGACTGTCGTTTTAATTTTCCGAAAATAAATCGACACGACGAGGAGGCCTTTCGTAAATTTAATGATGTTTTATTAGTAGATAAGCTCTATAATACTTACTCGTATGTTGCTCCTAATTTTGGATTTTCCAGTTTCGGAATCGGCGTTATTGCATTTATGCCAATTCTAGCGTGCGTTTTGCTTAAATACGCCGACGTGTACGCCATGAATGTATCATTATTAGATGTTCGAACCTTTAATTACAAACAAAAAAAAATGTTAATTAGCATTTCGAGATGATTATCGATATTCTGAATGAGGTAAAAAATAGCCGAATTTCGACACGAACTGTGACAAATCTTGTTAATTTCGTTATTATTAATTCGCAGCGAAAATAACGAAATATCACAATAAACCGTTTACAGCGAATGATGTTTCGGCTCCAGGAATTCCAGCAGCAATTTGTTTAATTAAACACGTGAAACTCTGGGAAAAAAAAAACAACAAAAAAATAAAGCGAAATTTAAACGCAGGTATCCTGGTGCAAAGCGCAGGATTTTTTTTTTCGGTGCTCGATATTCGCCAATCGATCGAACGGCAATCCTTTTGATATCTCTGCTTCTGAATCCACGGTAGACGCGGTCCGGTTAAATTGACATTAAAACTAGTGTATTTATTTCACTGGTGTACAGAGGCATCACAATAAACGTTATGGAGTTTCAATGCCGGATCGGGAAACTATTGGAAACTCATTTCATAGCCGGTGTATATGGGAGATTATAATTACTCTTTGTTGTTTGGAGTATAGGCCAGGCCAGTGCTCTGGATATTTCCAGTGAAAATACATAGGTAATTGTCGGGAAAATATGACGGTGCTTTTAATTACCCCTCAATGAAAGACATGTATGTATGTAACTGTACCTTAAAATCAGCTTGCCAATGATGATCGCCTGTAGTAGTTAAATTGGCATTAAAACTGGTGAATCTATCCGAATGTCGTATGCTCCCTAATAGTTCGTATCTATCGGGTGTTGTTGAGTTAATTTGGTATTCAAAAGTTACGGAAGGGCTATTGTCCTCTGGAGTAAATTTAACGGAAACTGCTCCAGGTATGGCGCCCATTAAAGCGGCGTTTCCTGTTATTTTGAACAGTTTGTCCCTTAACTTGAGCGTGCCTTTAAAGTCTCTTCGGTCTTTGGAAGGCTTCGCAATATCGCAATCGACGACAACCGGTATCCTGGAAAGCAATTAGAAACAAAATTGAAATAAAAAATGTCTCTCGTAATTACTGAAAACAAATTAGATGTAAATAAATGATCTAATCCATTTTTGATTCCCCGTGAAATTGCCGTTCGCATAACTTTTTGTTAATCTATTTATTTAGGAGCAGGAGTGTTAGAAAGTTTTCGAAATCGTTAAGTCTTTTGGGTGGGCTAATTATGTAAAAGGGCAAATTACTGCGACAATTTGCACTGTAAAAGTATTTAGATATTACGCGTCACTTAACCGACGTTCTCTAATTACGTTCTCTTTAAATCCCCCCTGTAATTTATACCTTAAATTGTGAAGGAGATGGAATTTTGTGAAAAGTGAAAAAATTTATTATTATTACTTACTTGTAACCGTCGAATGATAAATCTGAGTTTGTCTTAAAACTGCGATCGGTTAGAGTACCATTTACGCGTGCTTCTATTGGATTAACCAGAAGCAAAAGCTCCACCGATGATCTTGCATCCGAAATGTACATTTCCAAGCCTGCTGTTGTATTTTCTAAACCGGAAAACGGTGTTTCCAATTGGAGCAAACCGCGAAAATCGCTGCTAGATCGTATCAACCATGATACTTTTGAGTATATCTAAGAGAAAGAAAAATTCGCTATGTGAGGTAATCCCTTTTATTGGCAATTTCCCTGAATATTCAGGCGATTTACATTAAAGTTTAAAACTACAGCTAAAGCGCCAGACATCTTACACAAATCTCTGGTGAAAGTTCCCTTTATACCGAAAACACTTTTAAATAAGATTTCCTTCGAGAAAGTATTGATCTAGATGGAATTTTCTTAAATAAATAAAAAATACTATCTACTTTGTATTAAAACAATAAATATCTTGTAAACTAATCTATTAGCCAGCATCTTAAAACTCGAAGGAAAGTTTCTCGCAAGTATACGAAAAAAAAAAAAAAATCGGCCATCGACAGCCAACTTAAAAAGTCTATTTAAATTTTATTGTACGCTTTATATAGAAGAAACCTTTTATAGGTAATTTAATTAAAAATTAATTAATTAATACACTGTATAAAATCGGACAAGTTTACTTACGGGAGTTTTAAGTTTCTCCGACATCTTGAGGATCACTTCGACGTAATTATTAGCTAGTGAGAATAATTTCTTTACTCTTAATTCGCCGGGAGGTATACGGATGATTGGCGTGGTGACATGGAAAAGGGATGTAAGCTCGAGAAGACCGTTGTCAATCTGGAAATTAACATGAAACATAGATTAGATACCGTGTTGCAAGCCATTAATTGACATTTAAACATTAATATTAATGTAAATAAATGTTACGTTATCCCCGCGTACTGTCGAAAGTAATTGATTCAAATGGCCTGGAAATCTCTCCATCTCTGCAACATGTTTACGTCTAACCGTCAACTACAAAAAATTACCCCGCGGAAAAGCGATACCTACTTTATTATTTTTTTTTTCGGAAAATGTTAAATTACATTAGCAGTTGTTGCGAGGAATCCGCGTCTAAACTCGATCACTTAACATAAATATCGGCATTTTTGGCATATGCATCCAAAGTGGCTTCGATTCTTACGTCGCATTAGGTCTTTTGGCGATTTATAGGGCGTAACCAAAGTTAAAATGATTTGAAGTTTTGGCTCTCCTTCGCGCATAATGTTTCTTATACATTTATCTCTCCCACCTTTTATACCATTGAAAACGTCGTAAATAATTTTTATAGAACGACATTATAGGTGGTTGCGTTATCGGTTTTACGATGCGCGATGGAACAAAAACTTTTCGATTCGGCCAAATAACAAGAGAATAGTGATAAACGTCTTAAAACGTATAAAAGATGTACACGAGAAATGGAAATGGATTGTTCGGAGAGTATATGAGATAAGTACCAAATTGAGGGAAAGCTTGTGGTCCAACTGACCCTAAGGGACACATTGTAACGCTCAACCTCCTTTCCTGATAACTAGCTGCAGTCGAAACTAATAATATATGGGACCTTGGAATTGGCGTCAGAGGCGTATAATTCACTGTATAGTCAATAAAATAAAATTTAACGTAGAAATACAACCAACGAAAATGAGCTAATATCGAAAAAATTAAATAAATTAAAGCGATATAAAGTGAGAGGGCTGATGCGCTCCTGAGCCGAAGTCGCAAGTGTTCCGCCTAAAATTGGAGTGTCCAAGTCGAAATTGAAAAACATACCTCCTGCGAAACTAAACATATTTACCTCGGTAGTAGCGTCCACTGATATATCACTTCTATTTGTGTTGAATAATAGCGTTGTGTGATAAAAATTCTCCTCAGTCTCCAAAGCACCAAACAAATTCAACTTCGGCAAAGCTTTAAATGGGGTATTAACTTTTAGAGTTACGTTGTACGTCCTTTCTTTGTCGGTCCTTTTTTCCACTATATACTTGGCGTAGAGGCCGGTCTGCGAAAAATTTTAAAAGTAAAACGAATGCGTCCAATAAACGTAATGGAAACCTTTTGCATTTAAAGCATTATTAACTCCATAAAGTTAAACATGTGTGATGCAAGTTCTCGCTGAACAATTTCATGCTGATGCAAACTTTTAACGGATTTACCTAATATTATCGCTTACCTTTATTAATGTTGTTTGTTTCAGATAATCAAATGTTATGCCAAATACGTAATTGCGTCCTGACTCGACGTTTATTTCGAAATCGGAATATATCTTCTTCGTGTTGTTGTAAGGTGTGATTATTTCCAGATTGTTTTTAATATTTAATATATCCTATAAAACGAAACAATTTTATACACATTTCAATTACAAATCTCCTTCGTTTTTTTTTTCGTAAAATTCAAGTAGTTTGTGAAATTGAATTTATTTGTTAGGGATACTGTATTCACTATCTGCACAGTGTACATATAGCAATGAAATAAAGCGCCCGGCATTCGCCCGGAAAGTTTTGAAAACTTGTTCTGTGTCGATCTTAAATTCGTTTCACAGGATTTTACGACTCTCCTCAAACTGCGGAGATAACTACGTCTGATAGAAGTGATGTATTACTTTCATTTTTGTACTTCTTCATTTCCCGAAACGTGTGCCTTAATGGCCTAACTATACGAGGTCGGAAGACAATATTTTCAGAGTAATTCCCATAGGAATGACGGTTCGAGATAGAAAACTGACAAATTGGTACACTGTAAGGAGAATTTTTTTATAATCATGACCAATCCTTACAAAGTAGATCATTTAATCACAATTTATTTTTTTTTTTGCGGATGAGCATACTTTTCCCTCGGTTCCTACTCGTCAAAATCTTGATTAGGATAAACATATATTCGTATTTAAAGGGGTTGAATTATTTTAACACACTGTGATTTTTTTTTTCGTATTTAAACCATTTTGCATAAGCATGCTCGTATTTCAACGGGATCCCGTTTGGAGCTCAATCGGCAAAAAATAAAGTAATAAAATAAACTTGTCACTTTTCTATATAAATAAGTTCTAATAACATAAAATGTAGAAAATCTCGAGTAATATTTCCAGTTTGCCAAATTGATTCGATTTGTCAATGCCATATATCACTGATGAAAACGAAACGGCTGTGGTTTTTTTTTGTTGTTGCGTAATATATTATTTCGAATGGAAAACTAAATCGTTGTTATTGTAAACATATTTTTTTTCGAAATTTTCAAAAAAGCTTGCAACGATTACGGTTAATTCTAGATGTATCCCGACTATTTCTCAAAAATATCCAGTTTATATACCGTAGTTTAGCCAACAATGTTTATTTTAGATTCATCGGCGGTCTATCTAAAAATTTAAGCTGCTATCAAGTGTCGCTATGGCTCCTCAAATGGCTATTTTAACATTCGGTTCTTTGGCGATTTATGAATCTATAAATATTTTAAACCCCGCTTCTGCACTCAAATCAACCATTGTTAAATTAGGTCGTAAATAGATTATTATTCGTCGTCTGGGTGCAAGTTTTCACCTGTTTTGATAGGTAGATCTATAACATTGTAAATACTCACAACGTAATCGAATTCATCGAAGATTTCGGCCACTCCGTGGGGCATTGTCAATTTCGATTGTAAAATATACGACGTTCCTTTCTGGTCAATTTCCAATTCACCTTTCATTGTAGGATAAATTATGACATCCAATTCTATTAAGCCTTCCCAACTAAGTGGATCATCGTAATCTTTCTCTTCTGTTTGCCGGAGCTGCGTCTGTTTGGATCTCGTGTAGACATTTTTCAATTTGACGCCCAATTCCTTAAGAGGTTTTGGCTTTGGTTGTCCCAGAAGTTTCACTCCGAGCTGGAAGAGAAGGAAAAAAAATACAGTCCGAATTATTACGGCGGGATTTCCGAAAATGTAGTAGATATTATTTAGCGGAGGAAAAAGCGGAATAAATAAGGCGAAAATTCGATTAACTTAAATTAAATCTCGTCATAAAACTGATAACATCGGCAGAATTATGTGGGGATTCAAGGCAAATAATTTTCCGTTTCGAATTAAAACGAGGATAAATTCCTTGATTTTACTTGTACTGAGGAGTTAGCAGTGGAGGTGAAGAAGAATAATAATGATCGAGTTAGCTAGTAGTGTAGAACCGACTAATTCGTTTAACATTTTGAAGCATCCTCGGGGAGTCTATTCTCAGTGGCGTTACCGAAATCATCATTAAAATCATACAATTAAACTTTAAACTATAATTTAAAAGAACAAATAAGAAAAAAAAATATATATCGTTTGGAGAAAGTGAGGAGAAAAAAAGAAATCTAGTTTCGTATTATTACGTCGTATCCGGAAAATCGGAAACAATCCCTGATATATCCTCGAAATTGTTTTAAACGTCATTATCACACCCTTCTACTTTTTTACTATTTCAATCACGGTCTATAATGCGATATAAGATGGGTTCTTTCTCCCCTAAAAAAGTGTATTTACAAGAACAATACATTTTCGGATCAAAAAGAATATTTTAATAAGTGATGCTACTGTTAGACTCGCAAAGAAGAGACGATATGAGAAAATATTAATCTGTTTTTTTATCGACGCTTGCTCATGTAAATGTATACCATAAGGGAGAAAATATTGTTTTCTTGTTTACACAGGAGTTTTTCGAGTAAAGTACACCTTTCTGGTCTTTTTTGTAAATGAGGATATTTTTCGGGAATAATACTCGTACAAAGAAACCAATTTCGACATATAATTGCTACGAAATTTTAATCTAAAAAAAAACTCCCACCTAACGATAAAAGGGCGAAGAATATTCTAGAAAGAGTTAGAGTCACTTCTCACTCAACTTTACGTCCATTATCTTTCTGGCTTATGCCAATACACGTTCCACAGTCTTCCCCTAATCTCAAACACTATATTGCTTAATGTACTGCATTAATTTGCTACAAAATACTCAGTCTACATTACTAAACCTCACATCAACGAAATGTTTCCGGCGCAGCAATTTGTTTTTGAAAATTTTAACGAATAAACTCCATCGAGAGTAAAACCCTTTTTGGGTACGCCCAACAGGAAATATATCCTCGATTAAATACGCCTAAAAAAAACCCTAATTTTAATTACAATCGTATTTAAAATAACTATTTAATCACTTCATCACGTGTGGCGTGTGCACTTCAAATGTTATCCAAGCAGGGCATTTTTAATGGGCGAAGTTTGCGAAAATCGAGAACGTGCAATTTTGCTTTCAATAATTACAACGAATCGATGTGCAATCGAGGAGAAAAGGAATTAGAAGAATAACGCTTCGGATTGTTCAATCGCGACTGCAGTCAAGTCGATGATAACAAGTTCTTCTTACGTTTGTTGGGAATTTTTTTTTTGTGTCATTAGAGTCGTATCCGATTTTAAAGACTTCTCCGATACATTAAATTTGATGATACGATCACTCGATTGAGTGGATCTTGCTTTCCGGTCAATTAACTCCTAATAATAATTTAATTGTGTATATAGTCACTTGAGCTCCGTTTTAGAGAAAGCATATTTGTTGTTTGTGCATGCGTGTGAAATATGTAATAAAACAGGTTTAGTTGAATTTGAAAATAGCGGAAGGAACAGAAAATGTAGTCATTTCGCGATTTTGTTTAGCATCCCCTATCTAATGATCAATAATGCTCGCATATACGCTTGTACAGGGGTGTAAATTGGGATTATGAAATCACTTTTTGCGAGGCAGCGCGTATTTTACCCCGTTTTACGGCTCTACCGATTGCATTTAGGTCCATCTTTTGCCAGATATGTTTTCAAGCTACTGCCTTCTGACAATAAAAAAATGAATGTTCGCCGCCAACGTACTGTGGTACATATTTTATTTTATGGAATTCTTCTGATATACTTAAACAGACAGTGGAAAGAGAAAGTCATTCGGGCTAAATCGTTCAGTAAATTTTTCCAGCTATAAAATCAGTCAAGAAAATTTACTGTATATATGTCCTTTATTATCCCAAAGGATATATGTATATAGTAGTACACATCATGGCATTATAAACTCCCGTCTTTTTTTATTTTTATTTTAAAGATAAACATAGCTCGCTTCTTTTGGGAATTTGGAAGAATTAGCAATCTAGGTCAGAAGTTTCCATATGGGATTAAGTGAGTAAAAAAGACCCCTGCGTTTTCGAATACATTCACTGTAACCAACTCTATCTATACAATATCGATCGCCAACATTGCCGTGTACTTTCAACCGTGCACGGAAATCTGAATTCAGTTCTCAGTTCTCGCAAATTCCCTCCTAACTCGACCGGTATCTCAGCATCAGCACTTCAATAATCACTATTTGCACTGTAGAATATTAGACAAACCAACAATTCTGATCTGCAAGAGTTTTTCCGAAACTATTTCCGAAAAAAAAAACACTCTACTCTCTAAAGTTTGTCGAGCCAATAATAAAACCGGCAAAAAGAATAAGTAAATTTCGTAATAACATTCGGAGGAATTAAAAATTTGTATTCAATCTCCAGAGAGTATTTTTTTGCGGTCGAATTTATAATATAAAATTTCTCGAGATATAATTTTAAGATTTCCTATTTTCTCCGAGCGCTAGAATTACAAGGTAATAGAGCAGAAAACGAACAAGTCGATTCAAGCTCATAGGTTGATTAAAAATTTAAAACGAGGGTATAGTTGGGTTGCGGGTTTGTAACTTGTTATGTCAGTGGTCAAATATCCAGTTTATTGGTGAATAATTTAGTAGATGGACGGTGGAACACTTCTTGTTATTGTGTTAGATTTACAAAACAAATATTCATAAAAACAAATAATATGAAAGGTAAACAAATTATTCCCATTAAAGAAAATTAATAGTTGATGTAAATATTGAAACGATTTATATCTAAAGGGAATCAAATTGAAAATCGGAGGGTCTACATATGGTTTTCTCGTAACACGCTATATTAATCGAAATCTCTCGCATGATTTCACCGCGAGATTAGATGATGGAATATAATTCGCTTACTACACAGTTAATTAATTTAATACTTAAAAGTGACACCAATTAATTTTCGATTCGATATTAATAGGTGTAGGTACACGCAAAAACCTCCACTAATATTGTTAGATTATTTGAAATCCTCTCGTTGCACTTAGAGCAATACCTACATGTATAGTTGTACATACCTTATAGTAGGAAAACTTGATAGAAACTTCAAAGTCTAAGCCTTCTTTGAATATGAGTTTGCCGACGATACCATTTTCTTCAAACCCATCGATAGGAGTGTAAATCTTGTAGCTGTATTCAAAGTCTGTAAAATTAGCATAATGCCAGACTCCGGAGAATCCCAGCAATAGAAAGTTCCATCCGACGCGAAAATCCGCCTGAAAAGTGTGTGTTTCGTTCATTTGATATTGCGAAATTGCAATCACAACGTCCAATAATATGATATATAATTAATCTAACATACTCTAGACTCTAGACGGAATATTCTAAGAATCCTATTCGAAGAACTTACTTACCCCTTGCGGCTGCAATTTAGCAACGAGGAGCAACTCTTGCAGGAATTCCTTGGGAGTAGCGACGTGTAGTTTGATATCAAAATCAATGATGCTATTTACGCCGACTAATAATTCAGTACCGAGACCACCTGTTGGATATGTAATCATAGCGACTACATGTCTCTTAGCGGCTGATATAATAAATCTCAGCTGATACTTATCCGTTAACGTTGTAGCGTTAATAACCAACATGCAGTTCGAGAGCCTCAGGAATTTTCCTTCCATGTCGAAATCTATCATTTTATGATCCAAGTTCAGATGCGCCGCTCCTCTGATGTAATTTTTGTTTTTAATCATTATTTTACTGACTAGGAAGCCGCTGTTGAATCCTTTAAACGGGGTCTTCGAATTTACGATTCCGGTTAAACTCGTGCAATCTTTGTCTTTTTCTATGCCCCATTGGCTGTCCAATACGATTACGAAATCAGGATTGTACTATAAAAAAATTTTTTTATATAGAAAAATGTTCGCTAATTTCTCTATCGATATACCTACCATCATGTGTATGTTTGTGTTGAAGGTATTATCGTTTTGCAAATGACTGAATTTCGTATCGATGTTAGGTATTTTATCAATGGTGCTAAACACTGAGCAACTGTAGAAGCAAGTGAAATTATTATCGGGAGCCGTGTAGTTGTAATCACCGAAGAAACTGAGTTCGATTTTTTGGCGTCGCTCCCAAGACAAAAGGCCGCGCAAATCGTATTTATTCTTATCGTGTTGGAACCTGAGAAAAGCCCTTTCGCTGAAGCATTTCCATTTAATTATTTATATTCTAATTACCTCCCGTTCAGTCGCGTTATCTTCCAGTTGTCGAACGGCGTTTTCAATTCGGATGCCATTTCTAAGAAAATTTGTTTATCGTAATCATGGACGATATCCAAATCGATGGCGAACGTTTTTTCAATATCCCGCGAGACACTCACGAGAGTTTTTAGTCGTTTTCCTAAAAAAAAAAAATGTTCAATTATTCGTCGCTCTTGGGCGATGAGATAGATTCCTTTGAAAAGATTGTCGAACACGTTACGGCCCCGGCGAATTATTCCGCTCGTCAGGTGAATTCGATTCGAGAAAAATTCACTTACCATCTATTAAAAATTTATAGTCTCCTTTTATGCCGTGACCTGGGTAAGTGACGATAAAATTGGCTATGTAATCGAAAGGTGCGCTTTTTTTATATTTAGCAGTCAACAGCAATTTCTGATTCGCTTGTCTGTTAGCGTCCCAATTAATATCGAACTCTATGGATTTGTTATCGGGCATATTATACAACAGGAGGGAAAATATAATATCTCTTATTCTGGAAGAAATTAATCAATAGGTTTAAATCAATGTATATATATGTACTAATTAGTTACTCGTCTATGTGGATTTGGGCGTCGATTTTTTTATAATCCCCATCGTATACACGATCTTCGTAGGAATATAATTTTGTTGTGTATTTAAGTTTAACTTGTCTTTCTGTATAATTCGTCGATTGGAGTTTCGATGAATACGATATTCCGTAATCTTGCGTGTAATTTTTATCGATGTCCCCCTGTAAAAATATTATTCAAACTTTCAAATAGACAATCTGGAGAATTGTAATTGATATTATTTTCATATTTCCAGCGAATCGTTTGTATGGTTGTATTGAAAACGTTTTATAACGAATTTATAGTGAGACTATTTTCGGGAATTTAATAAAAAGTAAAAAAGGTAAGGGGAGTTAAATTAGGCAACAAATCAAAGGAATCGAAAAAGGAGGATCTTGGAAGTAAATGGCGTTTGAAAGCGGCAAACGCTTCTCACAAGCAACGGACCGCTGTCACAGCTCAGACAGCCAAATAATGAGAAAATGTCGGTTGTAATTAATACCCTGCAACGCCAGAGGTAGGTCTCTACGAACATATCGCACTCAACGAAATATTTATACTTTTTTTTTTTTCTAATTACCACTCGATTAATTACGAACCGCAAATTCGATTTATCCGCAACAACCACACATAATAAATGTACAACCCCAAATGAAATAACTCTTATAATATAAAACAAACCAATCACCACCGCTTGCACCTAATGAATAAAGAGTTGCTCGAAGGATTTTACGATATGAAACCAACGGTTTTAATTCACCTTGCGGTCACGCCATTGGCAACCAACACGTGACGGTTGATTGCCCGGCTCTTCGGAGAAGTTAGCTCTACCTACCTTGAGCTCAAACTTCAATACGTCATTGTCACGATAAAATTGCAGGTCAATGGTGATATCTTTAAAATGGGGAGACATCAGGAGGAGCTTTACATGGTGATCGGACGATAGGGGCCGGCTCTTGTCTTGATAGAAAACAGCGGCGTTCATCGTGTGCCCGCTGAACCAGGTGCCTTTGAAGTTTATCTGGAAAATTCGCGATCGGATTAAAAAAAAAAAATATTGCGAGTTTGTCGGTATATACTAACGGAGTAATCTCGGTAGCGCTTTTCCAGGATGTCCAGCCTCACAATCATCGGCGTAAAGGCCGGTATCGTTACGTTTATATGCGTGCTAATCTCGGCTAGAGCCTTTCTGGGGTGGAACCAATAAACTGTCGCGGACACCTCTTTATTATCGCCGTAATTCACGATGAGCGCGCCGTTCATTTGCGATCTGTAAACTTCGTAAATAAATTTGCCCTTCAGATTTAAGTTGCTGGATTTTCGCGCTATCGAAGTTTCGACGGTGAACGTTCGTTTGCCGTCTATTAAAATAACGTGCGATGCTGTTGTTTCGAATTTGAACGTGTTGTAATCGGAGCCCGATGTCTCGTGAGGGAATGGATTTTGGTGCAGCTTGAACACGAGATCCAAGTGGTTGTCGCTCCTCTAAAAAAACACAAATATATATATATATATATAGAAATTATATCGATGGATTAGCTTACGTGGAATGTAACGTTCGCGTCTAAATTCACATTCGGATAGGCGGTCGAAAGTAGATTGAGAAACGCTCCGTATATTTTGATATTTTTCTTCTGGGATTTATCGCCGGCTCCGAATCTGAAGGAGACCCTGTGTTTCTTGGTGTTCAAAAACTGATAATCGTTGGTGAGGCTGCCTTGAATCGAATTCTCGCCCTTCATTATGTACCCGTACAACTCCGACGTGAAGCGCTTCGTCTTGAATTTTAGACGTTTCACTGAATATTGAGAAATGCCTTTCTTGCTTAATGTCTCCACAGAACCTGAAACATAACATTTGACGTCTGTTAAGCGCACTCGAGTGGTTCGGGAATTATCGTGTGCAGGGTTTATTGCTTTTTATTATCGTTGAATAAGTATATATATAGAGATTTAATCGATAAATTTCCGGGCGGCGCATCAACCGCACTCGAATTATTATTTAAACTATTTAAAAGTGCCTAATTGGAAATAATTGCATTTATTAGGAAAACGGGATAATGTGATTTGAGGAGATGCTGAAACGCACAAATTGGGAGCCGAAGGAAAAGGGAATTGATAACAGCGTTTGACGTCGACGTCGAATAACCGACAGAAGTCGATAAAATTCGACTGATCATTATGTAAAAACAAAGTTAAAACACGAAAAAGGCGATACAAAAGAAAAAGAGATGCTCCTTAAAAACTTTTGTCGAGACAAACTCGCTACACATTGTACTCGTTTTTAATCAATTCCCATCGCAACAAACAAATACCCGTATTAGATTTAGTACAAGGTTTGTGCAATAATTAGTGGAAAATTCAAACTGACTAACTAAAATGAAGGACTAAGATTTTGATGAAAATATTTTGCAAACTCTCGGTGTAGTCAAATTTGATCTATTACAATGTGATACCACGAAAATGTAAATGTATTCAGTATGTAAATTGGTTTAAACGCGTTTCTCGAATCTTAAGTCCTTTTACTAAACTTTCCATATGAAATATTATCTCATATATTATCTCAGCTTACATTATAGTGTATGGATTTTCCAGTAATAAACTCGATTTCGGATGTATCTAATAAATAAGAATACTTCTTACCTGTAAACGTAACGATTTTATCTCCATTAACTATCAAATACAAATTAGGAACATATTTGTATACATGTTTAGTGTGGCTCATTTTGATGGAAGCTCCGGCTTCGAGGTGCTTCATGTTGTTAATATTCAGCTCGATTTGTACAGATTTTTCGTTTTGAGTATCTTTGAATCTTCCATGGGCGAGAACCTTCCCAGCAGGAGACTGTATCAGGATAGTGATGTTGTTTGAAGCGCTGTCTAATGTTACATTAGCGGAAATGAGCCTTTTTACAGCTGACCCAGGCGTATCAAAAACCACGGATATTATACTAGAATGGGGATGTTTGTCCCACTTGTATTCGAATAAATAAACCGTCGCCGTGGGGTCTGCTTTTTCTATAAACAATCGGAAATTCGCCGGACCAGCGATGATGAAATCAGCGATATTTGCGAATTTGTTCATATGTACAAAACCGTATTCTGTACAAAGTTTCAAACCAATAGTTTGGTCTACGGCCGGCCAAGAACACATCGAATTTTCAGTTCTATTCGAATGCAATCCCCGTTGGGTTTCTTCGACTCCGTTCTTTTTGACTAATAACTCGGACCTGAGAAAAGTATTATTTTTTTTATAGATACGAACAATTTAAAGTGGTACACGCTTACTTAGCTACGAAAATTTCATTCTTTTCCCTGGGCAAGCTGAACTTCACGCTCGCTAGTTTGGTATCCCTAATTTTAATCTCGCCTTTAACAGCCGTGTCACTGTACAAGTTGGTTTTCAGTTTGATGCCGGTACTTGCATAGAATGCATCCACTGATATCTCTCCTGTAAAATCCACCGAAACAGTCGGTTGTATATCAGCCGTCAAATCAACTTCGAGTTTTCTATTTTTATCGCCGATTCCAATGGAACCTGAAACAATATTCCAAAGATACAGTAGCTTGTAAGTTCGTGTGTCGCTTCCGCCATCTCACCTAAAGATCCGTATAATTTTATGTTTATTGTTGTTGTTCCTGTTGCTATAAGAGAAAGAGGTAACCCAGCTCCGCAGGGCACGACGTATTTTCCATCCAAAAACATGGCAGCTTTGTTGTAATTGATTTCCTGTGATCATAATTAATTAGATGAATCAAAATACTGAATAATATATTATTTGTTTTCGATGCCGTTATTGGTTAAAACAAAATCTAAATTTGTGAATGTTTTATCTAACAGTTGAAATGTAAATTTTACAGTGATAGGTTTCTTCTGTATTTGTTTACCTATCAACCGAAAGAAATAAATAGGGAGTTACATCGTGATTAAATGGAAACTCTGAATATCAAGATACTATCAACTAACAGAATATACAAGACAATTTCCCAATAAGCAGATATTTATTACACAAACAATCGTCTGTATACTTAATCAATACGCTGGTAACATAAGCTATACCGATGATTGGTTAGCAAAGCTGTATAATAACCGATTGATTTTAGGTTTATCCGGATTTTTTCCCCAGTATGATCCGATTAATTTATAATTTGAACGTTTAAAATGTTTCGAGAAACCGACGATCTACGAATTATTGAACTCTATAAGTGTAATTGGAGAATTTTATGAAATTGCTTAGATGTAACAACGAAAATTATCCACGACGGATATCTACTGTACTTATTAGTGTTAATAAATAGATTAATTAATGCAAACTTCGGCAGAAGTTCCTTCTGATATTGGTATTCAACGTCCTGGTCTATTCCAGATGTTGATGTTTGTTAATAATCCCTAATTTCACCGTCAGAGGTTGTATATTAAAGCTAGATTAACCAGATTCGAATCACAGATACCGATATTCATTATAGCCGTGCTATGAAACCAATACGAAGCGACCGAAACATGCCACGTGAAAAATAGAACAGTTCTTTTTTACCTTTCCTGATAATAAATTCTTTAAATGATGAATAGGATCGAGGTTTTTGACGCCATCTTCGATTTCTTGTTTGCCCGCGAACGTAACGTAATTAGCCTCGTTTCCGAATATTTTGTAACCCAAAGCCACCTAAAACGTGAATTTTAGAATGAAATTTTCGTTTAATTGTCTATTTTTTTTTTATTTTACTTTGGGTTCTTTGGCGTAATTGTCGACAACATTTGGCAGCTCTTTAATTTGACTGTTAATTAATGCATTGGTTTTCGCGTCTCTTGGCCACCTCAGCGTTTCCATGACTTCTTCCTTCAGCGCATTCGACGATCCTTTCGGTCCGAAAAAGGATTCCAAATATTGCTCGAATCCGTCCACTCGGCCGTAAATCTAAAAATTAGATTAGAATTCGTTAGGATGTTAATCGCTGGATTTATTCGCTCCACGCCCACCTCCAGGATGTTAAAGGATTCTCCGAACAAATCAATGGTCAAGTTCAGCATGGCGGTTTTGGGGACGTATGAATTCGTCGAAAATATAACGTTGCTCTCGTAATTTCCACCTGTAAAATCAACAAGAGTTTGATGGACGCGTATATGCGTGGGTTTGTGTGTACTGTACAATTATGCAGGCTGTGTAATTCGATACATTAAACAGCGGTAGGCATCCAAAATTTCATAGTTGATTAAACCTTTCAAATTTTAATGTACCTACACTCGAAATAGAAATTTTAAAATGGCTTCTTACCGACATTGAATTCCTCGAGGTACAAGGATCCTTCGAAATTCCTCGAAAATTTCCTTATATCGGTGTCGAATTTTTTCGACAAGTCTTTGTCGGTTAACAAGGTTTGCACTTCGATTTTACTCGGCCTGGCTGATTTCAACAGGTTCTTCAAGTGCGTCCAAATAAACGAACCAACTAAAAACGCAATATAATTCATTAGAAAACATCGATTCGCCGTGGAAACCCCCATTTCGCAAACCTTGATTAACCTCCTCGTCGAGCAGAGCATGTCTCACGGTTCTCATCATCAAATAATCCGGACATCTCATAATTTGCAAGTAGGACGCTATCCTCACCTCGGCGTCCGCCTCCTGATTCCTGAATACATCTTCGAAATAACTTCTGGTGTCCTCGCAAGGGGTCCTTCGGAAACTTTCGACTGCCGCCACTCGTATGGCCACGTCGACTTCCGAATTCTCGATAACTTTAAAAAGTTCCCGGTCGAAATCCTCAGATATCACGCCGATGTTAGACAATGCCTTCAGCGTCACCATGATCTATGGGGGAAATAGTTTAGGTTTAGTTTTCGCGGGCATAATGCATACAGAAGTCGACGTAAAATTAAAGCGATTCATCTTTCAGAGTTTGGTTTTTTTTTCTTCGAGGGGTTTCATTCGAAGCGAGAGTAAACAAAGTACAACGGCTTACTTCGTCGTGCGTTTTCCTGTCGATATTCGTCTCCAGCAACTGTCTGAGATGTTTCTCGTAATATTCCACAATGCCGGAAACCGCTATATCGTTGCGACAATCGCTGACAGAAGTTTGAGAACAATACGTGTGCGTCAGTGAGGCGATGCTGAGGGCAGCATCGGCGGAAAATTCTTTTTCTTCGAGCAGATTTAGCGCGACTTCCATCGTCTCGCTGTCGGGGTTCGGCAGGAGCCCTATCGAGAATATGTAATCTTTCGCGACGCCTTCCGATGGTTTTTCGTTCAGGATGATGTCTCTCATCAGAGAGACCGAACCGATCGTCGAAACGAACGGGAGGGCTTGCGACAGGAATCGCCTGAAAAATTAACGATGGTGTTGTTGAAATTTTTTTACATAAACACCCCGTACGTTGTGTATATTTGAGCATGTGAATTCAATTAAAATAATTCCCGGATGAACTGGAATAATCTCAAAACAGGGTGTATCTAATTAATGATTTAGACGGCTTTGTATATAACGGAGTGAATTACGTTTAATTGTTATTCCCTCGGTTTAATTAAAGCATATTATAATTATTATGATCGCGTTTCAGTTATAATCCGATAATATAACGTAAGAGCAAAAAATTGTAATACATAAAACCGGATTATAAATAATATTTTTAGTGGTATAATGTTTCCATTATATTTTATAGGGGATTTACTACCCTGTATAATATGCAAAACAACACATACTTTCCTGTTGGACAAACATATCCCGCTTGGCTGTGAAGTTCCGTTAAAGCAGGATATGACAGGGACCGTAAACTATGAATGAATTTGCTAAACAAATCGGCTAGCTCCATCCTATCGGGCATTTTATCCAGTTTGCACAGTGAACTGATTGATTCCTTTGATGCCGTTAAATCCTCGTGCGTTGGTTTAGCGGTTATGATATTGTGGAAAGTCAATGGCACCCTTCTGGTAATTTCTGTTTCGTCGGACACCAAAGCAGGGAGTTCGCTTTTTAGTTGTAATTTTTGCACAACGCTCGTTCTGGCGCCTTGATTGTAATTGGAGAAAGGTTGCAGCAGGTAGTTTTCCTCGCATTTGATTTCTTTGTAGATCCGATGATCGATCGATAACACGCACCGGCTGGTCGATTTTAGAATGTGATCTTTGCGTAGGTTCTGTTGGAAAAATTTAACGAGCTATTCGATCGATTCCGATAATTATAGGGAATGTATAACGGGTACCTTTTGAAAAATAGGGACGGCTTGGGATTGTATAGCCGAATGGATCTTTGATCTGCCCTCGCAATTTTCCAAATCCTTTGTCTTTTCTATGAGCAAAGTCGCCTCTTCCACTCCGGAAACTTTGTAAACAGTACGACATTTCCCTCTGACGTCCTCCTCTTCGACTATCTCGTCTAAATCGAATCTTTTCATGGAGTTTTGAATCATGCTGAGAATACCTGTAATTTACACCGACTAATTAGACGTTCCAGCTGAGTTTTGATTAAGCTGCAGAATCTAAATACTCCCGAAAAAAAAAAAGAACGCATAATCAAGTGGCCAGGAGCAGTTTCATTTAATTACTTACCTTGTTCTCGGTAAAGCTAAACAGAACGAAAGTTTTATTTAGCGGAAATAAATCCGTTAAATAATATTTAGTTCTTCCGTTATTATTACGAAAATTTAATTCGATCCTTTCGCTTGTTTTCCAAACAATTTATTTATTTATATAAAACCATAACACTTGGATTTAATGAAAATTTGCTGTACGAGTATTATTACTAACTACAATTACTGCTAATTTTAAGCAATTATACATCAAAGAAACCGTCATTATCCACTTAAATCGTTTACTGTACATTCAACTTTCCAATTAAATCCATCAAAGTGCGAGAAAACGTATTTGCCTTTTTTAAAATTCAGCACCCAATCGATCTCCTCGTCCTTCGGACACACTTCGGCTATGATTCCATCCACAAAGGAGAACCTCAAGGTGTAAGCGGTTATGGCGTCGGCGAACGCTTGGCTATTAGAGTGCTCGAAAGTCTCAGACCCTTCTGGAGGAATGTTTTCGCTTAGTTTAACATCCGATAAGGTCAATACGCCATCGCAAGGTGTCAGAAATGCCAAATTCGCTTCGCCTTCTATGTACAGATTCGATTCGTTCTTGCTCGTGCCGTTAAAAAGCGACGTTACCTCGACCGAATACCGGTACGTTTGGGCCGTTCCCGGGCCGTACTTGAATTTAACATCATCGGGAACTGGAAGAAAAGCGAACGGTGCAAATTATAATACTAAGTTATGAGGTTGGGGATGGTGCAGGATAAACGGAAGCCTTTCCGGGTTAATACAGGAGTTTTATTAAAGCGTCTTCCTGCGCAGTATGCGGGAGTTAGTGGGTTAGCGTAGTCGTCGAGAGCATATTATTAATGCCGGTGAGTGTGTATTGTGAAAAAGTGGGTTGGAAAAAGGGGGCGAGAGGCGCGGCAAATGTGTGAGGAAAGATAACACAACCACAAAGATGATATTGTATATCTCAAACGTGATCTTATCAGCAGACACTTTGTCACTTTACGGCAAACACCCCGCTGTTTCCTTTAAATTTATAATCCTCGGCTAAGACCTACTGCAGAAGAAATTATAGCGCATCTCGTTGTTTGAATTATGCGCAGGAAATTCCATTAATATTTGTACGATTTTTCTATTCGCCCGCAATACATTGCAGATATAGAATGTCATGTAATATCAAACGCAAACAAGATATTTTAATTATCTACAGTTTCTTTTGCACGACTTCAAACTTGTTATAAACGGAGAATGACGAGCCGAGGATATAACGTGTTCAGTTTTTGCTATGAAATGTTGATATAGGGTGGAAGCTCGCGCGGTGCTGCAGGGGAAATACTTATTGCCCAATAATGCGTGAAATCTCGTTATTTCCCCTCGTACGTTTGGCCAAATCCATACTTTATTAAAATACTGTACGTTTGTCTCAATGCTACATTTAATATAACCCTTAAAGGTAGATAGATACATCAATGTAGCGTTATTGAAAACGTAATATACATTGTATCGCTTTGGTGAAATTCAAAGCCACATAGAAAATATTTAATAATAATAATAACACGAAGTTGTGTAAAAGCTTAAAGCTGGATTTCTCTGCCTTTTTTGGTTGGAATTTTCTCATTAAAGCATCAAAATTACTTCATAAATCTTAGAATGGACGCAGAGAATACCAATATTCCATATTGTCAGAAAGCGGTATCAAAACGTAATTAACAGATTACAAAATGGTATTAAGCAACTTATTTTTAATAAATATTAAAATGAAGCCAATTTTTAATTAGTTATGGAAACAGTTAATTAATAATTCCGTCGTCAATAAACGCCAACGTAGGAAGTACATATATACATTGTATGTATAAATTTCCGACTCGGTTATTGCCGATTCGAATTATTACGATTACTTTGATTTGATTGACCATGGAAATATTTCACGAAAATGTACGTTTGATTATTAAATTATGGAAAGCTTATAGGCTTCAATGCAGAGATTTAATTTACCGAAAACAAATTAACGGCGAAATAGGCGGAAACCGCGAGCTTATTTATTGGGGAAGATCAAAATGGAACATGGAATACTGTGGTGAAATTAACATTTTAAACAATGCTATATACTAATAACATTTATCGGATTGGAAATTCTCTGATTCTGATCGAACTGCAGTTACTTACGTTTACATACAGGCGCGCCGCAAACATTTGGATTTTCTAATGGATCTGAAAATAATACACTGTTAGAACATATTTCACAAAAATTATTTAATAAATTAGTTACATTATTTGGGTAAGAAAAAAAAACTCAATCGATTGTTTAATTCCGAGCTTTCCCAATTCCATTTTCTCTGTTGTTTTTAACAAAGTTAAGCACAGTTTCAGTTTTCTTGCGAATATTTGTTGACGTCACTAATTGATAGAAACAACGTTAATCGACATTAATCACAGCTAACTTTGTAAGTTCCCTCGAAAACGCTTATAAGTACCAAAGTGTTTTTCAACTAAATGGACCGGATCAAATCAGGCCGAGCCCCACAGCATATTGATCAATCCTCAACCAACTTTACGCAAATGCCATCAAAAAAATTGTCGTAATTAAGTCGCTCATTTGTATCCGCTTAATTTCCCCATTTTATTTTGCCGGGTCGTAGTTATTAGATAAATGAATCGGCCAAAATCGAAATAATAAATCTTTTATCGGCGTTCGCGGAATTGAAATGAAATACGAGCAAACATCGTAGTGAACTAGCAGTTTATTTATCTCCAAACGGAAAAATACTAATAAATTAGCCGCCAAACCATGTAGCGATTCCTAAATAAGGAATAAATTTAAAATGATTACCTGTTACTGAAAATCTCTGTAAGTTAATGCTCTTTACAATCAAATAAAGTTGTATTGCTATAACGACATGGACGAGGAAAGTGGATTTTCCACTATAAAGCAAATTTTCCAAGTACAATCCGGAATAAATTACCTACATACTAAATTTTTCATTATAATATGTTATTATATTTCAAGTTTTCTCTATAGGTACTTTAAGAAACCATTTTACTACTATAACCAACGTACTTTTTATAAATTATTCATGAATAATAACTATAAAATTTTCCTATTTTACGTGGCATATACAAAAGTTAACCAAAATAAATAACGAAACATAGTGTACAGTACAGTGGCCATAATTGTAATACTCGGTGCCCTTTTTGCAATTAACATTACATTTCAAAGCGACTGTTTTGAGGACTAAAAGAACTAACTTCGTGTCAGCCATTTTTTAATAGCAGTTAATTAAAGGAAATTGCAATTAAAATGTCACGTCACCGTCACACACGTGAACCCCTAAATCCATTGTCAAAGGGTCAAATGAGCTCTGTGTGGCTGCACATACAGAGATGCCATGAGTTTGGTTTATACCTACCTACCTACCTAGTGGTGATTGCACGAGGTAAAATATCGATCGTTCGAATTTTTAATAAAACTAAAACTCAATGTAATATGCATTCAATTTCGTTGTTAATCGCTAATAATTCGAAAATTTACTGTTTGTTGTGTAATTATCAGCTTTTCTTTAATTTTGCTATTAAGGCGAATCTTGAGTTTTTATTTATTCTTGATGACCTTCGCTATCACAAATTGTTATACTCTTATCTTAAGTAATTATAAACGCGTTCTTGGTATATTTTTCTTTACTTTTTCCACTGATGTATATTTACAATTTTATGAAATTATCATCACTGTATTTTTGGATATTATTATCTAGGTATTGTAAGTATTTTGTTGCAATAGTTTGCATGTCAAATTTTCAATTAAAATATGAAACTACAAAAATGTTGTACATATAATTACACAATATTCAAACACTTTAACATTACTGAGAAATTTTGATAAATAATTTTTTTATAAAATTATCTCTTTAGGGTCAATATGCTATTATATTTTCGTTACATTTACCCTTCATAGAGCAGTAATTGGATAGTTATAATATCAACCATAATTCAATTTGTAATGTATGGAAAAAATTCAATATTATCGGTAATTTAATTTAATTAGAATAATATAATTTAGAATACAGGAGCATTTTGTTGTTTAAATATGTATATTACCTCCATAAATTTTCACCGAGAAAAACAGCCAGAAGGTATTAAAAATTGCCATTATTATTTTATTCAAATTTTTTAAAACTATGTTAGCACCAACAGGGAATGTATTAAATTATTGGCAAGTTATATATATTCACATTGAATAAAACCAATTTAACATTCATGTAAAGTATTTTATCTAAACAATATAAAACGTTACCGGAAGAATGCAATGTGAATTTGAACAAGTTCAATCAAATCTGTTAATCAAAATTCAGGATGATTTATTTTTTACGTTTATTTTTGGATAACTATATTCGTGTATACAAGTATATTTATTTCAATCTACTCAATAGGTATTCAGATTAATTAATTTAATCTACAAAGTTCACTATAATTTCCCTATTAAATTATGCATCAGAGAAATGGTTTTCAAGTAGTAAACACTGCAACTTCAAAATTTGCTACCAAATTAAGTTTTATTAATACTGATCTGCATACCCGTAGGTGCATGCGAATAAATTCAATACCTTTGGTACAAAATATACCGCCAGCGTTTTCTAATATCAAAGAAACCATTCAATTCGAAAACGAATTCCAATAATTATTACATTCAAGTCGAACGAATTCACGTGATCTACTATGAAATACTACGATAAATAATTTTACATGAAATTTGAAACATTTCATGCTCGTTTAAGATAACGACAACTCACGGCAAATAATCGAATAAATTATAAGAACAAAACAATCAAAAATTCAATCTACTTACTATTATAATCAGCAGAGACTAATATCGCGAGAAAAATGAACCCCGCGAACTGATAGAAAAAATTCATCGTCGCACCATTTAGGAATAAAATATGGTTGTCGAACTCGGCCAGAAATATGTGTACATAAACTGACACTACAAGTTATAGTGGCTCCCTAATACTAATTGATCAATTGGTCTCTCCGCGCCAAAGGTCTCTTAAAATCGACAATAGTGATAAGCGGTTCAAAAGGTCACTAACTGCCATTGGCTAACGATCAGAAGATATCGGACAAAATATTATTTCTTGATTTTCGATTAGCTGCTATGCAATTTTCTAGGAAACTTTATTCCAGGACCGCAATCATGAATGTCACAGATTTTTTTTCAACTGTGCGGTTGTAATAAATTGTTTCTATTTCCAACAGCCACAAACAAACCAATGCGCATTAACGATAAGACTCTTACAATAATGATTGTGTTGTGAATTTTCAAATTTTAGAAAGACTTTCGATGATACGAGCCTGATCAATTATTTAATCATAACTTAGCAGTGCGTAAATTCGGTCTATGAAAACAATAAACTGTAATTAAGCTTGTGTTGGTTTGTAAACAGATTTATAAATACATATCGGAATTAAATATTGCTTTGTAATACATACGATATTTATTATATTCGGTAAATGGAATCTTTCTTGCATATTTTTCATTCGAATGTCATCCAGATGCCGATTCTAGAAAGGGTCTAAAATCGAGTGATTGATAGAAATAAGGGGCTCCAGAGAAATCTATTTTGAAAACAACTAGTACTTCCCCTTATAGCCGGTAAATTAGTAACCGCTCAAGGGTTTCATGTATATTTAAATTACAAATGGGGTACGTTTTGTTAGGGTTAGTTTCATAGGTGTCATCTAATATTATTCATTACTTATGTAGATGAGTCTTTTGTAGCATTTGCCTAATTTATTTATATGCCTTTAGCTTATTAAATGCATTTCATTAGGAATGAACCGAAACGAATGTTTGAAAAAACCATTAGAAAATGTTCTATTAACCATCATTTACTCACAGGTTGTTTAAAGAGGTTATGAAAACTTTAACTATTTAGTTTTTTAATAATTTAATATCCACAACAGCGAATGCAGCTGATCAGTCAATTGCTTGGCCTTTGTTCTAAATTCAAGCCGATCTAAAAAAATTTCGACTGTTTCTTATTCGTTTGTAGTACAGTTCAAATAAATTAGCTAAAATTGATTAATGTTTCTGGGAGCAAATTAATAAATTTATCAGTCATTACAATACACTTGAATTGTTGTTTTCGAACGGTACCGTTTTAAATCAATTTAGCGTAATAAAAGATGCTATTAAGTCCCTACCACGCGCATATCGATCCGCATAACGTATTGTCTGCGATTCGTTTAATTGTCAAAAGATTTGTGAATCACGAGCCGGACGTACCCAATTGAATACCCGCTATACGTTTTTTTTTTTATTATTCACAATAGAGAATGTATTACCTAAAGTATTGATGTATGTTTGTGTGGGTAAATACTCAACCCACTGAAAAATTCTCTGCTATTTTGATATACATAACACCAATTAATAGGCTGCCCACAAATACCTGTTGTCACCAACGGTTCATACCGGCTCTATTGCAAGTAGAATTACTAGAGATTCTAGAATATCGAGACACGGTAATGAAATAAGTGAAATTAATATTCCTGAAGCACGAACGTAATGCACATAGTGAACGCATTTTTGGTATAATTGGATGGATATTAAAAAGGAGGTAACTATACATGGGAAGCTTCAAAGCATTTGTGTTTAATTAAATTAAATTACGATTTTTGAAAGTACAAGTTTTTGAGATAAGTGCACAGCTTTTTAGCTTTTAAAAATAATTGCAAAGTATTGGTATATATCTTCAGTTTTAATTATACATGCAGCTTAGTCAATTTACCAACAATCATTTTAATAATAATTTTCAAACGATTTTGCACTATTTGTAATATTTCAATTTATTATAATTTATCTTTTCCCATGAATCCTTTTATGAGTTAAGAGTCCTTTTACTTAACAAAGTTTCAGTAAACTTAGGTAATACCAGATTTTATTAAAAATTCCAGGGAAAACAGAATCTCAATGTCTTGACGACACGAAAATAAGCGATAATATCTCAAAAGAAATAATATTAACTTTTTAGTTATGAACAAGAAATTTAGAGTTAGTTTTTTTTTTAATTTAATCTAATTAACGGATTGATCATAAAAAGTATTTACAATAAACTATGAAAATAAATATTTTTTTCATAAAACCCTTTTGTACATTTCTTTAAAAATTACTTAAATCGGCCATCTAGATGTCAAAAAAGAAACTATTTCTATCATAAGAACTAAAGTAAACTGTAAAGTGTTAATTATAGGAAACTGTAAATTGTTAATTATAGGAAACTGTAAATTGTTAATTATAGGAAACTGTAAATTGTTAATTATAGGAAACTGTAAATTATAAATTATAGGAAACTGTAATTTATAGTACTGTAAAATCACAATTATTCGTTAGATGGCACTGCGCACGGAACATCAAAGTAGATTAGAGTAGCCGAACAAACCGTGCAGCCAATGACAACTTATTAAAAAAGAAGAAATTAGAATAAACAGAGACGATCAATTAATAACGATCAATTAACTCGATAAAATAATGACGATATTGCATTAGATATGATAAATAGTAACATATAATTATGGAATTCAACTCTATCAAAGTTCGATAAATTGCTGTCATTACTGTCATTGTCATATTTGTCAATAAAAAAAATTCTGAGTTGTTGTTCTATGAGTCACAGTCACGGATGCTGTCGGGGTTGGGTGGTGTTCCACATAATAAACAGCACTGTGGTTTCCTGTGTTGTTTTATTACTTTTATTAATAACTTAATAATGTGGTTAAATGAATCCGTAAACAGACTAGAGTGTGTAATTGTGTTTAATCATTCGTAAAGCTTAGTGCAAAATGTAATATTTTCCCAATCCTCATTTTAATGATCCCGGTGCCCGTGAATAATCCTTTTGCAACAGGGATGGGCTTTACCTTTGTTTATTTTGTTTTTGCTATTTGCGGTATAGTGGCACAAGAAACAACGACCGTAGCACCGATTAATAATGTGGAATTTCAACTTCAAAGTTTAGGACGTACAACTAAAAATACTACCTCAGAAGTTCCATCAAAACCTCGAGATCTGACTGTATTGGACTACAGTTCTAACAGCATTCGTTTGAAATGGACTAATCCAGAGAAAAAGGGAATTATCGATGGATATTTACTGTATTACATTCATAATAATTTAACTGAAAAGTGGCCAGAGAAAATATTTTACAATGATTCCTTCAATATCTTCAATTTAACTAGACTGAGTAAGTACTGAATACAACATTTTTGCATGAGTCTCACCTCGTAGCTCGTTGCTTTTGAAAGCAATAACCTCTTTTAATAATTGATCCCAATATACCTTAATTAAAAGACAATGGATGTTGTGTAGCGTGCGGTTGTAGAGTTGTTAATATACACATTAGAATTATTTCTTCCATTCGTTTTTTTTTAGAACCCTTGACTGAATATAGAATCTTTGTAAAAGCTATTAATCAGAAACAACAAGAAGGATATCCATCAGATCCTGTTATAATAACAACAGACATCAATGGTCCCAGTGCACCGAAAATTTTGAAATTATCTTGTCAAGCTAATGATACCATTCACATTCACTGGCAAAAACCTTCTAGCTTTTACTATTCTATCGACTACTATTACGTGTATATAAATAAAGGAAATACTATTTATGATAATATCACCATTACAACAAACAAGGACCATTTAGAAACTACAGTAAGATTTATTTGTTGTATTCATTAACAGTATACCGAATGAATTTATATCTTTTATAGTATAATTATTCACGCGTCGAACCTAATAACGAATATAAAGTCCAAATCAGAGCTTCAACGAAAAGCAATCACACCCATCGACTGATCTTAGGAGAATTCTCAGCACCATCTCGAGTATACATTTCAAAAGACTGTGATAAGGTTGTTGATTACATGTCCAGTTCTAACAACGAACTCGGAGCCGGCGTTATTGCTGGTGTACTTTCCGTTACACTAGCTATTATAGCGGCGGGATTAGCCTATTTAATTTGGAGGTACATCGCTCACCAAACGTCCTAAACAGTTAATATAACAAATGTTCCGTAGGAAATGCTTCCGAGCGCCTTACTACTATCTGGATAACCCACAATGTTCGGCTGCCGCTTTGGACTGGAACATCACCCCCGAGCCTGCCGAAGCAGCCGAATACACCGGACCAATTCCCGTGAGCCAGTTCACGAGGCACGTGCAAGAACTGCACGCAGACGGGGACATCGGCTTCAGCAAGGAATACGAAGCTATACAAAACGATGCGGCTAATGAAATTAACAGTTCGGAACATTCACAGCATCCCGACAACAAACCCAAAAACAGATACCTCAACATCATTGCTTGTAAGTGTCGGGTTTTTCGTTTAGATTGTAATAATGACTCGGTGGTAATTTTTCGTTTGTAGACGATCATTCTCGCGTGCATTTATTGACCATGAAGGGTGAGAAACTGTCTACATACATAAACGCTAACTACATTGATGGGTTTCAAATGAGCCGGGCTTACATTGGCACCCAAGGACCGTTGCCGTCGACTTTTGATTGTTTTTGGAGAATGGTTTGGGAACAAAGGGTTACCACGATCGTAATGATTACCAATTTGGTCGAAAGAGGAAGAGTAAGCGAACCCAACAGTACGATCTCTTATATATTTACTTAACGTTTCTTGTTCGTTTAGAGGAAATGTGATATGTATTGGCCTAAAGAAGGATCGGAAACCTACGGTGTAATCCAAGTGACACTAGTCAAGGAAGATATTATGGCTACTTATACAGTGAGAACTTTGTCGATTAGACATCTTCGCGTTTCGGTAAGTGAAGAAATCGACGCGAAGAAGCTATGAATTAATAAAATAATTGCAGATTAAAACTAAAAAGAATCCAATACCGGAAAAAATCGTATACCAATACCACTACACCAGCTGGCCCGACCACGGCACCCCCGATCATCCTCTTCCCGTGCTTCACTTCGTTCGAAAGTCATCTCTAGCTAATCCTCCCGACAGCGGACCGATCGTAGTGCATTGCAGGTAATTACCTCCACACAATCATCTTATAAAAACCACATTTTTTTAATTCTAAATCTATTCCACAGCGCCGGCGTCGGTCGAACCGGCACTTACATCGTTTTGGACGCCATGCTGAGGCAGATAAGGAGCAGAGGCGAGGTGAACATCTTCGGATTCCTGAAGCACATCAGAGCCCAAAGGAACTTCCTGGTCCAAACCGAGGAGCAGTACATCTTCATCCACGACGCTTTGGTCGAAGCCATCGAATGCGGTGAGACGAACATATGTCGAGAGAACTTCCCCAGGTACGTTTCGAGCCTGCAGAACAAACGGATCGACGAGGGCGACGAGCTGTGGAAACCGTTGGATCATCAATATAGAGTAAGTCGAGTTAAAAGCGCTTTTTGGGTTTTTGTGTATTAGGAATTCGTTTTGTAGTTGGTTACGAGCTTCGTTTGTAAGGATTTTCAAGTCGTGTCGGCCAACAAAACGGTGAATCAACCTAAAAACAGGTGCCCGACGATAATACCGGTGGAAAGTTCGAGAGTTCACTTGACGCCCAAGCCCGGCGAAGATGGATCCGATTACATAAACGCCAGCTGGTTGCAGGGTTTCCACAATCTGCGCGAATTCATCATCACGCAGCATCCGTTCAAAAGCACCGCGAACGATTTTTGGCAAATGGTCTGGGATCACAGTTCACCTCTCGTTGTTATGATCAGCGTCATCGATGGTATCGATTACGATGTATTTTGGCCGGTCGGCGATGAGATTATAACCACCAATAATTTCACCGTGAAACTGATCGAAGAGAAACCTCTGTCGACTTTCACGCTCAGAGAGTTCGTATTGAAGAGCGTACAAGACGATTTCGAAATACCCGTTAAATTCATAGAATGCTTGAATTGGCCCAATCAGGCTACTTCTCTCAACGATGTCTACCACCTGCCGAGTTGCGTGCTCGACATGGAACTTCCCGCCGGACCCGTCGTAATCGTCGACAAGTAAGATTTATCCAGATCGTTAAAATTTCTTAACTATTTATTTTATACCGTAGATACGGTGGAACCGAAGCGGCGACCTTTTGCATGTTATCGACTCTAAAGAAGCATTTGATCTACGATAACAACGTGGACGTTTACATGTACGCGAAGCTGTACCACAACAAACGGCCGGGCATTTGGAATTCCCCCGAAGATTACATGAAGCTCCACCTGTGCTTGCAGTCGTTGTGCAATCCGCCGGAGCCGATGATGCAGGAGGTTACCGTCGATTTGCACGTCGTCGCCAACGGCACCGTCGGAAACGTCTTAGAGAACAACGAATGTATCGAGAATGTCGCTGACATCGATAACGGTGGATCGTCGAAAGATTGCATCTGCGTACCTCCCGAAGGTATGGAAATTGATTCTTCTGCCGCTGTTTAAATGGCTTTTAATTAATCGTGTGTCGTCTAATTGTAAAACTTGATGTTACGTTGTTTTTTTTTTAACTATTTCAATGTTGTTAGGCTGGAATTAATTTCGTCTCGAAACTATTGTATCGCTAACAGTCTTTTTTTTTTAACACTTTTCGAGCAGTAGAGGTTTGTTTTACAAGTTCAAACTATTACGAAATGGTTCTATTGAAGTTTTTGGAATTACTGTACATTCCTTTCAAAGGGTTTGCATCTAGTTTTTTGTGTAACTTAGTATGTGGTTTAAAATAAATAGGATAACATATGTGTGCTTTATGTTTCAAACTACTATGTCTATACATAATATTAATGGAAATTGTTGTGCTAAGAGAATTACATTTACGTACTCCACGAGATATATCCTAATATGTATTGTCAATAATTTATTGATTCTTATATTTATTTATTTAATTTACAGAAACCCCACTTGTACCAATGAATGTTTTGAATAACAAGATTTACTTGTAAGTGGAATATTTTCTATAGAACTACTTCTTATTATAATTTATTAGAAATCGATTTAGTTCATTTTATATTATTTATGATATCATCATTCGTTGATTTTTCATCCAGACCATGGAATTATCGGAAATTATTTTTAGTATTAGGGGTAAAGGAAGCTGCTTCATTTTATTTATACACCTACACTCTATAATATTATTTCTGTGATAAACGCATTTAAAATATAGTGACAGAACTACATACTCATTACAAAATTTCTGGTTCTGATAGAATTATAAACATTCCCATAAACATAAATCATTCCTCGATTATGTTTTAATTGAATTATAGACAGCTACTGTAACTTGGCAGCTATCCTTGGACACCCCTATTATATTTTATTTATTTTCGGTGCTATCATATAAAGTTGTATATAATGTAGATAATTTTAAATGATGTATTTTTCTCTCTTGTATTCAGTCATATTGTAGGTGCAGTTAATAAGGATATATCATTTATAATGACTAGACTAGCTATATAAGTGCATAGTTTTTAGATACTTTTTAGAAAACTCATATTGTAATTTTGTGTATTGCGCTTTGAAAGCATTATGGACTTTATACCTCTTTTGAGGTAATTTATATTCTCAATTTTAAATAGTATGCCTTTGTAGTTGCTTCTTTATATTGAAACGGAATATTTTATACAGCTATTACTTTTGACCTATTTGGGATATAGTTTAAGAAAATATTTTAGTTTATTTTTGCGGTATTTAGACATTGGCATTAATTTTCATTAAGGGATATTAAACGTAAACATGACAAAAATATAAATCTTGCAAAGATTTTTTAAACGAAATTAATAGATATTTAATAATCAGGGCTTTTTTTGAACTTTTAAATTTTTTTTACATGTACATATGCAAGTAATAGAATTTTCATTAATTTTTTAAATGTAATAAAAATGTGTGTATTAAATATATTAATGGCCCTGCCCCTTTGGAATATAGAAGCTTATATCGAAGCATGTATAAGTGTATTTTATTTACAATTACATTTAATTTCCGAATTATGAAAAAAAATTTCAAATTGAGGTACAAGGACTAAAAACGTTAAGATTAGGAGCCATTGTGCTCGGTCTTAATTTAGTGTTGTAATAAAATAATTAGATATTCTAAAATTTCGTTCGATACGAACTAATATATTAAATTTATATTACGCTTAAAACTAATAACAGAAATAATTTACTCAGATTCTTTCAATTCAGAAAATTTGACACAAATTTTAGGAATTAAAGACTAAAAAGCATATATATAAAAAATGCTCAATGGTACTGTTTATGTTTTACTGAACACCTTGAATATTCTTGTTTCCAGTTAGAATGAACTTGAACAAGTTTTATGTAAGGCATCTCAATTACTACGAATAACTCTTAAATTTACGCTTTGAATATTCAAGGAAGGATAAGATAATTAGAAATCTAGGCGATTAGATAACATGAAATAAGTGTTCAATATTTTATATTAATATTCAGCTCGTATTTAGCGCTTTTTTGAACACTAAAATGTGCATTAACATTATTCCCAAGTAATAATCAGCGCTAACTACGGGTAAAATAACTATGAGTGTATTCGAAGAATCGTATATATGGTATAAAATATCTGTGTAACTAACGACTAATTTTTTTCTCTATTTGACTGATATTTCTCCTGTTGTATATAGATCAAAAATCCAAATAAGACATAATTTCATTAAGAAAAAAATCAAATGTTTGGTATGTGTAATATCTATTGATTTTAAAGTAATACAGGGTATATTAATATTTGAAATTTTTTGTTGTTCGTAAACTCCGTATATAAAAATTCAAAATAATATGGCAATTTTTTCATATTTTAAACCCAAACTTTGTTTTACAATGACTTACTTGGATTTTGCGTTTCTGTTCGTTCAGATTAAAATCTATCTAGTTGTATAAATGTAATCATAATCTTGAATTTATGCCTGTATGAAATATAGATTTTAAATCTTTTAATAGTTTTTTTGTATATTTATTTATTGTAAGTGAATAATTTTAACCAAAGCTTGAACTCCTCATCTCACTAAACGTGCTTTTTATGGATGATGGAGATTACATGTTATTTTATTACTAGTTCCAATTATATAAGTGATATTTGGTTTCTTAATAAGTAGCATTATTTATAAAAATTTCAGCACCCTTTCATTTTTTTTTATTTAAACATACTGTAATGTGTACTTTGTCACTTTCTGCATGTTACTATTTGTTGAAAAATAAATGTATGAAATTTATAAGTGTCTTTTCTTTTCGAGGGATCCAAATAATACAGTAAACCTGTAACAATTGAGTATTTTATTGACCAAAATGCATTGTTTTACACTTGGATTTACATATAGACAAATATTTGATATACATTTAGATAAATAATTTAATATAAATATGTTAATAAGCGTTTCATTTTTTTTACTGGATTCCAAATAATACACCAACGTTTAACAATTGAGTATTTTATCGACCACAGTGCATAGTATTTTAACTATACACCTGGTTATACATATAGACAAATATTTCATTAACATTCAGATAAATAATTTAATTCACATATAGATATTCATAATCCGTTTACATATAGTATATGTAGAGTATTTGTTTAATGATAAAGACAACGAGAACATACGTTAATATCAGTACAGAGGGTTAACTATCATCTTTCTAGAGAGATATGTTGGAAAGAAAACAAAAAAAATCTTTGGTCTTAAATATGCTATGTACCACCACTTTCTGTATGTTACTATTTCTTGAAATTTACCAGCATCTCATTTATGTAACTGGATAATCCATTTAGATAATAGACCAACGTTAAACAATTGATTATTACGTTGACCAGACTGTATAGTGTTATACACCTGGCTTTACATATAGACAAATATTCAAATAACATTCAGATAAATAATTTCATTTCATAAATTCATTTATCATGCAATTAGATACAACATTTGTTTAATGATAAGGACAACGAGAACATATGTTAGTAGCAGTACAAAGGGTTAACTGTCATCTTTCCAGAGACACCTTGTAACTGCGCTGCAAAAAGAATCTGTGGTCCAAAATATTGTCGGTGTATCCGGCGAAATTTAAAAAATTCAAATTGCAATCCGTAGCTGTGTACAAATAATCGGCGTCGAACGCCAAGCTGTAAACGGGCGAGCTTTTGTGAACGGTTTGATTACTTGTAGTAAAATAGATTTGCAAAGCCTCGCGCAGACGGCTGTCCCATAACGTGACTCTACCGTGAGATTGAGCCCCAGCTAGAATGGTATTACATTGATCGAGTTCCAAACAATACAAAGCCGCATCGCAAGGGTCCAAAAATCTCTTAACACATCGTCCCAATCTCAAATCCCAATGTCTGACTAAAGAATCATGACCGCACGTCCAAAACGTGTACAGCCCGTCCCATTTTATATCGTTTACGCCAACAATATTTTTGTTTAGATCCGTTAGAGTGAGCGGCGATCTTAATTTATTCAAATCGTACAAACTTAACGCCAGTCTTGTCGATACGGCAATCTCGTTGTTGTTAAAATCGGATATGGATACTTTTCTGGTCAATTCCTGGACGTTCGCCAAATTGTTCAGATCCAACATCAGTTCGTTCTCTTTAACGATGCTCCATATCTTCAGTTTGCCTTCTCTGCATCCGGACACCACCATCGTACCGGCTTCGTTAACATCTATGGAATTTATGTCGGAATCGTGGCACAGCTCGCAGTTGAGCGTTGTACCTTCGGTGGGGTTATCGCACAGAGCAATGCTACCATTTCCATATGCGCTTACCAACATGTCGTTCTTTATTTGGAAATTAATCACGTCGTTTCCGCGTTTGCCTAATAGTACGGCTTCGGGGTTGCGAATGTCGACACCTTCGGTGTTTCGCTTGTAGCAAAATATGTGCTCTCCTCGGCTTATCCACAAATACTTATCGGTCATTTTGAGATCGGGAAGCAGACGCTTTTTGCTTATTGGGAAACATTTAACGGTGTACTTGCCTTTAACCCAATTTCTGGATACCCTGTATTTGTCCCACTGGTGCAGTTTGCGGTAGCAATTCGAGACGAATTTATCGTTGTTTTGATTCGTTACCACTGTGAGGGGATCCTTTTTGCAGAGCACTTCGGCCCAAGACGATATAACGTCGTAATATCTTTTGGATGTTTGCTTTAAACTGCACAAATCGTTTATATTTAAGTAAGAGCATATTTTCACGATTAATTCGGTGCATAAACTGTCCAAACTCATCTTGTGCTGGTTCGAATACAAACAAAATATAAATTTACTTTTCTAAACACAATCGTGAAACAGCTGCTGTCACTTTTGCGGCAATGTGACAGAACAGGTTGCCAATACAAAAGTATTTGTTTATTGTTATTGATTTTTCGAATGGGCCAATCAAATTCATAGTCACTTTTTGTTTATTATGTTGGCGTGATGATCGTTCAAATGGTAAATAGATATCTGTAGTATTAGTTTTAGTTATCGTGTATAGATGGCGGTATAGGTGTGTTTTTTTGAATTAAAAAACTACCTTTCCTTTATATTTTTGCGGAATTTATTATTTTAGAAATGTCGTTTTTTAATTTGCACACAGCGAGAACTCAAAATAAGAGAGAAGTAATTTTTTATTCAATAAAAAGTGTCCCGACTTGTAATTTTTTATTAATTGACTTTGGAGGGAATTCAATGGAATTTCATTAAACAAAAAAACGTGCGTACTATTTTACTACCGTATAGTAAATTGTTGTCATTGATTAATTTTCGAATCGAAACAATTAGGTTTTTTGAATGATTTTTTAAATAAGTTACCACATTCTTGTTTGTTTAACAACATTAAATTATTTTCAAAAGCTCATCGTTAAACAAAACAGCCGCAAAACCCCAATTATTCGGTGAAAATTAATAAAACGTTTGAATTGCAACGGGCACACAAAGAAAAGGGTTTGACGCGCACCCAAATCCGCCATCCCTAATAACTTAATAATTTATTGGGCGATCTATGGACGCAGATGGCCTTCTGTCAACGTTAAGAGTTGGTCGTTGGTCATTCACCACCACAAATTATATCCCATATACAGTGTTGTACCGACTATTTTATCCTCATTCTATAATATATATGAAAACTTATCCACCATAACATTTTTTATACAAGTGTACCTATGGATTGTTTTATAAACATTTTCTATTACTTACCAAGTCTTAGTTTTAGCATGAGATTTTAATCAATAATGTTAAGTTGCGGTTTATTCGGTTTCCTAACGAACAGGTGGCAAAATTGCCTCCATATGAACCATTTGAGGATGTCGATTTTTTTCGAATGTCGTGACCCCGTCTGAAAGGCATACACACGTGATTCCCGTAAGTAGGAAATAGGAAATGTTAGAGATTTGGTGGAAAATAGACCGTGAGAATTGGGAAGCGGATAATGTGCCGATCTTCGCAGGAATTTCGAACGTGTCTTTCGAAATGCAACTTCCATATAGATGATTGGTTGTGTTTACGAATTGCATCAGGGGCGGGTGGAAATTAATCCTTAAATTTGCCATATTATATTTTGATAATTTTACTATATACATATTTCTATTTCATGCAACAATATCTATTATTGGTCTTTAAACTCTCAACATAGATTATCTTCTATTTTCTATAATATGAATTCATCTCATCTTCGGTAAAAAAGATATTTGGAATTATTATAAATCGATATACAGATAAATTTGAACCACACCAATGCGATTTCTTCTAAAAAAAATATCCGTGGGAATGTTGTGTTTAAGGAAACGACCTAGACACGTCTGGGTTACATTCAGGACTTCCGGAATTCCCTTCATATAACGCCCTGGGTCGCTGGGATCACAAGTGTCCATACGGCGTGGCGTTTTGGTGGCCTTACAAACTACCGCATGTGGTTTTGCATTCCGCTGGAGTAAAATAAAATTCCAGCCCATCCTGTCAAATGCTACAAATTTTATGATTTATTGGTATTCTTAACTCGCCGTATTCCTGCTCTTCGTCCTCCTCTCTTCCAAACGGTTGAGAACGAATAAGGATATAAATATCAATCTTTTGTACTTATTGGTAATTATTAATCTAATGATAATATTTTGGTAAATGAATAAAATAATGTACCTATTTACCTAAAGTACTTATGAACATAGGTACGTGTTAAGAATGAGCGAGTATTTAAACATCGAGGTCCGGATTACATTTAATACTTCATCATCATCCTCAAATAATTGAAGCGCATAAGTAATTGTTACGGAATGGCGCTTTAACATAAAACAAGCCCATGATAAAGCGATATAAGCGGCAGATCCTCCAGTGGCGTGCACATCAACCGCCCTCTTACAACTCCCAAAAGATTTTTAACATTAACAGTAGCATAAAAACTATATTTCGAACTCCATACTCACCTCGCAGGTGCTCTAATTTGATGTAATTATTTAATTTTAATTCGCCTATATAATTCATTTGCGAATACACACGCAACATCGATTATAAATTAAATATCCATTCGGTAATTTATTAGTGAAAAATTTAATGTCGGTTACACGTCACTGGTAACAACACAACAGGCTCACATAGTGAATATCCAAGAGTGGCTAATATACAAAATCACGCACGCGTTCCGTCATTGAACTTGTTCAACAGTGTTGATGCCATAATCCGACATTTATAAGCAAACTCCTTCAATCGCATTTTCTGGCGGGAATGCCCCTAAATAGATCCCCAACGATTAACTTCAATATTGAAACGGATGGGTAAATGCATTTTAAGACCCTACAGAAATTGTCGGACTCTTTTATTGAGTTTTTTGCCATTTTAATACTCGGTTGTTGTGGAGATTTTTTTTTTTTTTTGTATATTGCGATCAGAAATTGTGTACTAATCAAATTTCGTTTCATTTTCGGATTATTATGCTGAAATTATTCCGTATAATATATATGTAGGTAGAAGGGTGTGTAGAAATGTAGTTAATGCGATTTTTAATTGTTCAAGTGTCTACGTGATTTCGGAAATATGCGCGTTTGGTTTTGAGGAAAATTAGGCGTTGAGTGTTCGAAAGGTAATTTGGTGATCCATTAAAACAAGTTTATTGAACACGTGCTCTTAACTACTTCCTTGAGGGTTACGCAAACCCCTGCTTCGAAATTTAATAACCAAAATAAAGCATTCGAAGTGCCTCTCGCATATTTATTACATTATACAATTTCGTGAGCTATTCGATTTTTACGCCGATTTTTTTTTTGTTCCACTTAAGTATAACAATTTTAATTAACACGTATTTACAATCCGCTGTGGCGGAGATTTTCTCATTTTCTAATGTTCCGTCTTAATTCGGTTAGAAAGTTTACAATGCAAACAAACCGCCCCCCATTCTGTGCAAATTCCAGTTACTCCCAAATGATTTCTAAACGCCCTCAACCCCTTTCACTCAGGATATGGCTTGCTTACAAGGAGGCATATGTCTTGGCAACGCGATATTTGAATAACGTCCCACCAGTCTCTCGTTAACTAAGATAACATAATCAATCTTCTCGTATTACCTGGGTCTTGTGCGATGAGCACAAAATAACGTTGCATAATATAATGGTCAGGCGAATTCCATTCGAAAAGGGAACACGGAAAATTAGTTGCCACATATGCATATAAGTGAATACAAAAATGAGTTAAAGTTAAAAAAAAAAATCCGACTCGGTGTAATGCCGAGAGGGATAAAGAAAACTGATGCTGGAGCTCCCCCTTTTGATGTGGAATAATCCGAGTTATTTTTCCTTTACGAGCGCAACTAAAAAAATAGTTCCAATTCAATTATGTAAATGTCTATTTTTTCGCAATAATTTCGATGTGAATGTGAATGTCTTCCTTTTGAAGAGGACTTCCACTCAGCAGGACGTTTATGTATATTTCCCTCTTGCCGCAGACACACATGTTTTTAAAACACTAACCGGGGTTATAAAAATCCACAATTTCATTTTTTAGAGCAATTTTGTAAAGTAAATGATACGAAACGAATGCGGTTTGGCTAAATGTATTCCTGTGTTTTTAGAAAATGTCACTGGAAGGCTATTATTTTGGATTTGCCCCATAAAACGAAGATGCCGGATGGGTTTTTATTATTCTTTGTGATTTTATTTACAATTTATCTTGATGCGTTTACGGTCGATTGAATTTTAGAGAGATACTCCATAATATCAAGGTAGATGCGGAATATGATGCATCTTACATTAATGATCAATTTAAATTAGCGTAAAACCAGCAATAAAAAAATATATCTATTTATACAGAATCCTGTCCTGTAAATTTTTTTTTTTGATCGATCTGGCTCGTTTTCCCTGTGGCATCGGCCAGGAGTCCGTGAACAGAAAGTTGTGTCAGAACGAGCAAAAACAAGCAAATTATGGGGACGCTCCGGCAAGACGAGATAATTAAAAGGAGTAGTAGATATTTCAAATTTCGGTAAAGAGATAAATTTGAATAATTAGGTGTATAACGAGTTTGCTGCAAAGAAGTTGGTAGCTGAGATCTCCCTTTTGGATGTGTTGACAACCATAATGATTTATAATTTGTACCTAATTAAACAAGACGGTGGTGTCTCCAAGTCGCTTGTTCGCAATTAAATGGGCAATTTATATTAAGTGAATGTAAACATTCAGACATTTAGACATCCTGCAAGTCCTGTTTCCTGGTTTTGTTCCTTACCTAAATACAACCTAACTATAACAATACGAATTAAAAACGATACGGGATCTTGTACAGGATGTTTTAGAAGTTAGTAATTTTATTGTTCGACTACTTTTTAGTTCTTCAAAGATAAACGCTGATTTCATTAAACTTACTTAATGCCATTTTTATCTTTTAAAATTTTTCCCCAGCCGCGCTCCATACAAAGGGTTGCAGCTTTTCAAATTCGCCCGTTCCCCCTTTTCCCCGACGTAATGTAACCCTCTTTTGTTTCGGGCTCCTCTTCTAATATTGAAATTTTAGTCGAACTAAATTTCATATCCTTGCCATCTCCTCTGTGAAATACGGTATTGTCCCTGAGGTCCACTCAGTCACTTTGTTAGGTGACAGTTTTCACTTGTAAACAAGTTCTACAGTTACTTCGAACTTTGGTCTTAGTCGGGTATTAATTCGTAGGGGATATACAGTCTGATGATAAATAAAAAAAATATATATGTATAACACCTTTGCGATGTTTTATTATATTTTATTCCAATATGATGATGCAGTGTGCTTTCAAGATCGGAGAAAGCGACCGCCTATTCGAGATAAGACAATTTATATCTACATTATTATGTATCGCGGTAAGGCAAGCTG